CAGTGCTGAGAGCATCCTCAGCTTTTATAGAACTAAGGCCAAGAACAATGAGCCCTCTTCATTCACAATTCTGCACATGCTTAATCAAATTTGCACAATACTGTAAAAAAAAAGAGTGATGGTGATACATCAGCAATACTGTTAGACTGATATTGGCGTCACATTAAAATATTGATTTTCAGTTCTATCATAGTTGATAGACAATGAGCATCACGTCCATTAATTATTTTGTCCCAGAAAATAACTGTGTCCCTGTTGCTAAACAGCTTGTTTTTAGTTTTTTTTTTTATGTTATTTTTGTGCACTTTACTTATGCTATCCAGGATTTGACAGTTTAATGCAACGCATGTCATTATCTCGATGCTTCAGGTTATAAACAAACAGTATGTCTGCTTTCCAAAAATGTGGTTTCTGCACAATTAATTTGAGTCAGTGGAACAAAACAAAGCAATAAAAACCAGCGGTGTCAGGTTTACATTCTAACAGCAGGGGAGAGTGTTCTTTGCTGAAAAACTTTAAAAGTATTTAAAGAGTCCAAACGTTACAACTTACTCCATAGGTGGGGTTACCTGTAAGAGGCTGAGAGGCTAGTTGTAGCAGTCACTAAAAAGTCTGGTGAATCAGTGCAAACACAATTAGTTCAATAGGATTATATGTCGTTTAAACTTAATTTAAACAATGTTACAATATAAACAATAAAAACAATATGTGAAAAATTATTCACACAGGCTGTTTTCCAAATGTGGAAAATATATTTCTGACCATAGTGAGGGTGGGCTAATATTAGCACAATAACATTTGCATATATTTTATTTTACTAGACATCTATGGTGCATTTTTTATTGAACTGTGCATAATAATGACCTGTTTTGAATTTATATGGGGGGATATGGAGTTCTCTCATTGTATTCTTTGGGAAGCTCATTAATAGAGCTGTGTTAAAACTAACCCTGCCATGGGGAGGCTGTACTTTAGCCTGGCTAGTTATCACTGTGAGCTATACATGCTTTAATTATGCTATGTTACAGGCACCAAGAGTGTGATTAAAACAATGTAGGCTTAAGTGTGAATACTGTGACTTATACACTTTGCACAATTCATTAATCAAAAACCTTTATGACATTCATATCATGAAATATTTAAAAAATATCATGATATTGAGTTTTGTAACAGCGCAGCACTAATATGACTATGAATATACAATTGTTATTGATTAACAGCCACAGCAAATGTTTATCTTTTATATTGCATAGGGAATCCTCCCTGTGACTCTCAATATTATCAGCCAAAGCACATAGTGGGCTCTTAAATGTTGCATGTTCATGAAATGTGCTTCAGCTTGCAGCCCAATTCTTTAAGTACACTATTTAGAGCTATGGAAATGTGCGCGTGTCGGAGGCGATAAGAGGAGCGCTCAGCCAAGCAGTCTTCTCCTTTACGGCCCTAATGGCTAAGGGACGGAGCAAAGTGTAACTGTTTTGTGTTGCACTCGACAATTGCTAGAAACAGGCGCCTTATTAGGTGCACTTAAGAATAATTAAAGAGACATTCATGGTGAAGGCTTTTGCATTGGGCGGAGCTGCTTAAATTATGCATGTGATGAACATATGCTATAAAAGAAGTCAAATAAGCATGCTTCAAATGGAAAGTAGTCGGAAACATTCCTGTTTAATTTGAGCTGCACTCAGGCTTTAACATATAATTTGGATCAGCCTCTAATGGGCCCTTAAACTTATCCAGAGGCGGAATATCTCCTGAAAAAAAATAGTGCTTCTCTTGCTTCTCTCATTTATATGCTAATCTCTCTAATCAGAGTGACTCATTTTAAGGTTAGTCAGCTTAAAGGGGAATTCCACTGATTTTTTTGTGCAAATTTCTGTCTAATTTACTCCTCAAGATGTAAGCAAAGTCATTCAGAGTGGTTTGATGTGAAATACTCCACATTCTAGAGAACCTTAAGGTCAGAGTAGTTTACTATGGTGGTGATAGGAACCAGACATCTGAAGAGGTTAATGTCTAATCTATGAAGCTAACTCAGAGAAAGCTTTTACATACAAAAATGGGTATGAATATGCTGTCTGATGTCTGATACATTGGTTGACAATAGGTTTGAGATAGAGTTCTGCCCTAAAATGCTTTTTTTATCAGTTCATGGACTAGAGGTACATAGAAGGTGTTATGAGGCAAAATAGTACCCAAAGAAACTTTAATTTTAATTTAATAATTCCAGATTTGCCATATTTTACCTTTATCAACATTATTACCAACAGGTGTAGCTTCACTTGTCATTTTGGATAGTAAATAAAATGGCTATATTTCTATTGTAGACATGATTCCTGGTACCTACCACCACCATTGTAAAGAAATCAGAGTAAGTAGGTTTCTCTACAATGCCCCATTTCACATCAAAATTCTCTGAATGACTTTATTTACAACCAAATGATTGAATTAAGCACTTTTTTAAAAAAAAGTGGAATCTGTCTTTAAAATGTAAATGAATGACCTCAAAAACTTGAATATTACGGTCTTGCATGTACAGTGTGTGCACAGTAGGATGCTGCAGTGAAATCATGCAACGAGCACTGGAGCACACAACAGGGCGTGTGGGCTTTGCAGCGTGATCTGAGCTGACACTTTGAGAGCCAAGACCTAGTTTGAAAATGACTCTGCGCGTATCATTTATTGAGAGCCTGAAGCGTCTTGGGCTGGGATTCGGTGTCGGTAGCTTCTGCCATGTCTCTTGCAGGGCCCCTTAAACAGTGTGTTGTGCAATCTAATGATTCCAATTCACCCAATGAGTGCACAAACAGCCTCCTTCCATAATGTGGGGAGACCAGGCTGAGGGGATAATGGGCTGGAAGAAAAAAGTTAAACGCTTGTCCTGGAAAGAGACAGAGTGTTATTTGATGCTCGCTGCGCATTCCTAGCCTCAGCCCTTTTGCTCTGCTTGTTTGTGCCTCTGCTTGAACTGATGTCATGCCTTCAGCCCCCTAGAGAGTGACTAACATGCAGTACACAAGCCAGCATGTATGTGTGCACATATGACTAATCTGCCCTCAAAATGTGCATTTTTGCCTTGTGTGCACAGTATTCACTATTGTAAATCCCATCTGTGCTATTACCAATCATTAATGACTCTGTGTATGCAATTACTGAGCATTTGCATGCAGAAGCGCAGTCATTCTCCCTAGATTATTACTCTGGATGGGAAATGCAGGCTGAAGGGCTGAAGGTGGCTCCTGTAAAGGTCGCCCCAGAGCTCAGCTGCTTGTGTATGCATACATATGTGTCCAGTGGGGCTAAAAATGTGGTGCGTGCATGAGAGATTGCAATTTAAAAAGAGGGAAAGGTTATCAAAATTCCAGCCATGTCTGACTTCAGCTGCAGATTTTCCCTTTCCATGGCCGTGGGTGATGTAGTCCCAGCAGCCGGTAATGATGTAATCAAAATGCAACCGTTTTTCCCCCTTCAACTGAAACATCGCAGATGATTCTCCTACTTTATTTCGCATTCGCAAAATGCACAGATTTGAATGCAATATTTTTGAAATGCTTCCTTCCAACCAGACGCGTTGCATTGGCTCTTTTATGAGGATCAAAAGCACTTCTCATAATTGTAAGTTATGCTGTCTGGGATAAAAAAAAAAGACGAGGAGACTTGCACCTCCAGCCAGAGATGCTTGTTTCCTTGGCAACGGGGGTCTCGCTGAGTTTCCCCCATCGCGCTGCTGCTGCTGCTGCTCCTGTTCCTCTCTTGTCTATTGCACCGAGTGATGGATGGAGCAAAAGCTGCCATTGATTATTCCTAAGGGGAAGCATCCTTCTCTGCTTTTCTCCATGCTGTAAAACAAGCTCAGCTCTCCATCCATAATGCCTATAATGGAACAAAAATAAAACAAATGTGGCTAAGAAAGACTGTAGCTCATAGTGTGGAGCTGTCAGATGAGATGAAGATGCTGACAGATGATGGATGGAAGCTGCTCTTAGAAACACGAGCCAAAGCGAACAAGCATTAATGGAGGTTCATGTTAAATAATGGAGAAATATCATATCCAGCTATAACTGAACTGAAATTTTGATTTGCTTTAGTGCCTGTTGGACTGTGGGGCTAGGCTAGTGGTTGCTATGGAATTAAAGTAGAATGTTTTAACCATCAAAGGGGAATCCCACCAAAATTTTGGCATAGTTCCACTGGCAAGACCCAAACCATATCATTCAGAGTGGTGTGGCGTGAAATGCTTTCCTCTAATGAAACTTAGTCAGATTTGTCTACCACAGTGGTGAAGGGAACCAGACATCTGTAGCACTTAATGTCTCTAAAAGCTATCTCACACCAAGTTCTTACACTAAATGGTTATGCGTATGCTGTCTAATGTCTGAGTCATTGTTTTGCAAAAGTTTTGTGATAAGTTTTTGGTGTAAGACCCTATTTTAAAACATATGTGAGGCAGATGGATACATGAAGGGCAAAACAGTACTGAAAGAAAACTTTTTTACTATTTAACCTTTATCAGCATTACGTATAAAAACACAAAAGATACGTGTAAGTTCACTGGTGGTTTAGGGTTGTGAATAAATTGATTACATTTGAGCTGTAGACTTCATGACGCCTGGTTCCTATCACGACCATTGTAAGTAAATTTGAGACTGTACATTTTATCATGACACCGCACCCCTTCACATCAGATCACTCTGAATGACTTTATTTACATCTCAGTGATCGAATTATGCCATTTTGAAAGACCAGAGGAATCCCCCTTTAATGGAAAGCTACTGTAAATTAGTACAGTAGTCAACAAAAATAAAAATAATAATAATAATAATCTGTCGTGCCAGGCGGCGCGCGAGGTAGAAGAGCTTATGGGCTCAGTCAGCCTCCACTGTGACACGTTTTCATCGCGTTCATGCAAATATTTTCAAGCCTATTCGAGCGTGTGAGGCGTAATGAGGGCGGGAGCGCGCGTCAGTGCGCGGGCACGGCGGCGATCAGCACCAAGGACAGCGGAGCGCTCCTGAGCGCCTGGTCACTAAAGGGAGCGGTGAGAGAGCACAGAAGAGAGAGATTTTGGCTATTTTCACGCAAACCAAACCGGAAAAACGAGCAGTCTTCGACTTTTTATCATTATTTTAATCTTTTTCTTTATTTATAATCGGTAAATACAGCTTCATCGCACAGTGAATGAATCTGTGAGGCGAATATCAACAGGAGCGCGCGTCATTAACGCCAGCCTGGCTGAACAGGCTGGGATTTTTCTTACCAAAAAACAAACAAACAAACACAGAAACCTGGACCATGCTAATGCCTCAGCACTACAGATCGGCGTGAATCCGTTCCGGTGGTCTCGCTGCGAGCTCAAGGTTGAGGTGGGTGAGCCTTTACGAATCGCTCAGGCTCAACAGGGCTCCCCTGAATGACTCCGAGACTGTGATCCGAGGAGAAATAAAAAGACAATTAAAAGCAAACTGACCGAGTAAACAAACAAACAGTCATGCGTCTGGTTCTCTTCGCATTCCTCGTCTCGTGCTCGTGCGCGCGGGGCGGCTGCGAGCCCAAGATCGTCAACATCGGCGCGGTGCTGAGCCAGAAGCGCTACGAGCAGGTGTTCAAGGACGCGGTCAGCCAGGCCAACAACATCTACGGCAGAGACAAGTTCAAAATGAACGCGATCTCAGTCACCCACAAGCCCAACGCCATCCAGATGGCACTGTCCGTGTGCGAGGACCTCATCTCCAACCAGGTACGATGAAGCCCACTCACGGTCCACTGTCCACTCTAGGCTGGACTCTTTTTCAACTACATGTTTGTCAAAGGATTCATGTACTGCTTGAAACACAGTTGCGAGTATATCTATAGGAACTGCGTGCTTCAGTTTTCATTAAATTTTTAAGCACAGATTATTAGTTTTAGGCGTAAATGTGATGTTGATAGTGATGTTATTTACCAGACTATTCTAAATAGTAACAGGTATTCTTCATTGTATAGATATAAAATTATAGAGTTAAATTTATTTATTTGGTTGATTGTTATTAGTATTAATATCGTTGTTGTCATTCCTGTCATTGTACAATGATGGAATTTTTCTTAGATTTTTTTTTCTGTTAAAGTATCTTTATGTGTTTTTTCAAAGCATCCATCTTAAAAAGAAAAAAAAATACACATTTAAACATTGTGTCCCATGACAGTAATGTCCAAAAAGATCATCTGTTGGCGTTTAATTGTACTTCATCCAGCTGAAGCTCAGCTCCACATGATCGAATCTGTTTTCCACGTAGGAACCACTTTACCAATTACAGCTCACCTCCGGGAAACATACAGCAACCCTGCCGTCCAATCAGCCGTTTCCAGCGGTCTGTTAGACCACAACCTCTGTATTGGAAATTATTCTGGTTTAGAGAGGCGATTAGTGTCCAGTGTGGCTCATTTCATACCTACAAGTGTGCACCCTGTAGGAGAGCATTCAACAGGACCCTACACAGGGTCATTTTGCTGGCTGTTAGTGAGCAGCTATCAGAGATCAGTGGTTGGGTTTCCAGCTGTATGACTGTGGTTGAATGGTGGTGGTGGAGTGGGGGGGGGCGGGTTTAGGTGTGCGACCTCAGTGGCCCATTATGGGGTCTCAGGGTCGTTAATGAAACATTAACGGCACTATGGAGGAGTCTTGAACCTTTGAATAGAAAACGTAAAAACGAGGCCAACATGGCGTCGCCCCGCGGATAACAGCTGCTTTGTTCTGGTGGGGAGAGCACAGGAAGAGTATTACAGAGAGAGAGAGAGAGAGAGAGAGAGAGAGAGAGAGAGAGAGAGAGATTACAGAGTCCATCGCAGCAGCGCGGATTATCATACACACGCTCACTCACTCAGTCATGCATGCATACTAGTTTGTCTTGGTGGGTTCTTTGCATTGACTTTGCATTACTGTGGATAAACGCTGCCACACTTGTAACCTTAACCTCAGCACCCAGAACCTAATCTCTGGGTTCTTTTTTCCTGATAAAATCTCTTTGTTTTTAAGCTCTTTGTTCTGTCATGGGGACCAGCCAAATGTCAAAATGTTTTCTTGTCATCCTGAGGGCATCTGATCCTCACAGAGAGCTAAATTAAATACATGGCAACCAGTGGCGTAGGATCTTACTGGTCCTTGTGCAAAAACAACGTACTACAGTTACTTTCAATACGTAAAAAATAACCATGTAATTTGCTTGTTTGCCCGCTGCTGTTAAGCCCCAAACAAACTGATGCTCACAAGGCATGACACTCCCCTCATCAGCATCTAACGTTAAAATGTTTAAACGTTGAAAATGATAAATGATGAATATATCATGTTGCAGGTTATTTGAAAACGGTTACAGAGATGCATTATGAAGAGGCGAGAGATGAACAGGCGTCAGGGCTGTCTGTGTTGATGGAAGCTAGATAATGATAATATATGCAAATGATAATATATTCCTTCTTCAGACTTTTTCATTTTAAATATCTTAACATCTTCCCTCCATTGTTGCTCCTCCACCCTCAGGTTTATGCGATTTTGGTGAGTCATCCGCCTCAGTCCAACGACCACCTGACCCCCACCCCGGTGTCCTACACAGCCGGATTCTACCGCATCCCAGTGGTGGGACTGACCACGCGCATGTCCATCTATTCAGACAAGGTGAGTACGCGCGATCGCGCGAGAGCACAGCGGCCACCGCCAGGCACTGCACGGCACCAGACCCCGGTGCGCGCGCTGCTGCTGGGCGTGAATTGAAATTCCGCCTCCGTCCTGCTCTCCTTGTCACAGGTGCTATCTGTCCTTGTCAGCTGTCAGTACAGTTATCTTAGTAAATGTGGCCCACTTAGAGTTCTGCATGTCAAAATACTTTCTCGGGGGGTATTACGGATGAATCCTTGAGCACCAACGGTCAGCTTAATTTAAAAGCTTTAAAGCAGTTGGGGGCGTGTCAACAAAAACAGAGGTAGCCACTGGCAGTTGTATAGTAAATGTTGTGTATTTGAATTATTCAGCAGCCACACCTGAGCACTGCAGGCTAAAACATTTTTTTCCAATGACTTTCTCTCATCTACACGCGAAAACAAAACATACGTGCATGTGCTGTGGTACTTCTACCCGAACTAAAAAACTCCTACTGAGCCCCTGAAGTGCTACTGCAGAAAAAAATATATATTTGTAACAACATTGCATTCTCTTGTATTTGCGAGGGATCAATGGCTACCCTTTTCACCACAGCCCTTTAGGGGTTCCTTGCTTATCCAGTGTGCAGCAGCTGCTCTTTATTTTGGGCTAAAAACAAACTTTCTGTTTTTTGAGAACAGAAAATCACTTTAACACAAATCACGTGGTACTTACACATCCATGAAGGCATATGGTAGAGTGATGTCGCATATGTGGCAAAAAAAGTTCCGTTTGTTATGGCAGAGCTGTGTTCACTAACTGTGGGGTGCTTTGTTTTTGGCTTTGCTAATGTGACTGGTTAAGGCCAGTAATACTGTGTATTGGCTGTTCTCCCTGGCAGCAGCTGTTGTTCAGTGTGGTGCTTGTCAAAACTGTCAAGGGACGCCTGTTTACTCTTCATTTTTCAGAGTTTACTGAAAACCTTGCTAGGCCAGCTAACCTATGTCAGTTGCCGCACTCTTGCCTCAAGCCCTTGAGTGGTAGGTTAATGTGGTTAGCTTACATTTAATCAGTTATTTGTATTCCACTTTTGATGGATTTGTACTTTCCTAGGTATTTTCAATATACTTGTTCATTTACTTATGTAAATTTGTGAGAAAAGTAATCCGCTCTTTTCTCAGTTATGGTATCTTTTTATTTTAGACCAAGATTTTAACGAAAAAAGAAGAGCCTAGCTAACAAACTTTGGTTCCTATGCTAAGAAGTTCTAGTGATGCACACGATACCGGGTTTTCTAGAGTCATTCAAGGTGGAACCTAAATATATATACATACATACACAGTTGCGTGAAAAATATTGGTTATTTTTGTTTTCGTTCCTAGTACCATTTTGTAATTGCTGGTCATTGCATCTCTTATTATCAAGAAAATGCAGAGTTAAGGTGCAGAGTTGCAGAGGCAGGCATATCAAAAACGTTTTTGTGAGCACAATTTGTGCTTACAGCAGCTTGGTAGCAAAAAAAAATATATATTGGAAGTAAAACAAACTCACGCTACTCAGACTCTTTCCTGCTTTTACACAGGCCTCCGTCAAACTGTCACTCGAGACAATTACATGAACAAACAAAAGTCGACTCAAAGCATTACGACTGTCAGAGTCAACGGCTGTGTCTGAAACGTTAACAATGCCTACTCATGCAGTATTCGGAGGCTGAAAGGCAGCCAGTCATGTCCGAATCTAATGTTTGTATAAAACGCTGCCTGCAGAGGTTTCTCCAGAACTGACAACGCTGCTGGACAACGCTGCCTTTTAAGGCACTGACTTATAAGACAGCCCAGGCAGCAATGCATCTAGAGAGCTGCCTTTAGTTTCGGACACAGCCTTTGGCCAAGAGTCGAACCCGGACTCCCAAACGAGTCGAAGAATCGATTCCTTTGGAATCGACTCCCAAACACTGAAGCCTCTTTTCCAATACATGGTACCGGCTCGACTTGACCCTATTCGCCTTTTTTCGTTCTCCATTAGGCAAATCTGGTACCTGGTAACTTGTACCGTTTTTTGTATCACCTCCGTCGAGGTTCCAAGCGAGCTGAGCCGATACCGATACCAAAAGGTGACGTAAAACGCTGCAGACTATACTGATTGGCCAGAGAGGGACTGCTAAACACATATGCTAACGTTAGCTAGCCACCAGGTTAGCGCACCTTACAGCGTCGCCTTTGAGCAACCAGAATCGTCTCGTCGTCTGAACTCTGATGTAACTTTGCATTTTCCAAACTCTTTCATCAGTCTTTTGTCTTCCTGCTGTCAGAACAAAATTTCTCCTTCACGTCGCGGCAGTTTCTTACGGCGTTGCTATGACGACCAGTTACACTGAGGGGGTACTAACGTAAAACCTGCAGCGGAAAACGAAGCGGCTGGTACCAAACGCGTTAGGGGTCGTTAGTAGTTTTCTGACCTTGTACTTTTGTCCTTCTGCCCAACTTTTACTTGAGCCATATTTTTTTTTCACAGAAGTAAGACTGCTTTTACCTGAGCGTAGGTTTACCTGATTGAATGACAGGTTTGGTTTGTGCATTATTAAACCGCTTTGGCTGACGTACAGACACAATACTGTCGCATTTTGACCGTTCTCCCTCGCGGCGTGTTGACAGAGTAAAAGGAGGTGGCTGGAGCTGCTGTCAAATTAATTACAGTTAAAGTAATTAAAAAGCTCTAGACTGTTACTGCCTGCGGAGCTTTTGCCGTGCCTCTGGAGAGTAAGTTAACCAGCATCGTCTCTTTCTTTCATTTTTTTTTAGAGTATCCATCTCTCTTTCCTGCGCACCGTGCCTCCCTACTCTCACCAGGCCCAGGTCTGGTTCGACATGATGCGCGAGTTCCGCTGGAACCACATCATACTGATCGTCAGCGACGACCACGAGGGCCGCGCGGCCCAGAAGAGGCTCGAGACCCTGCTGGAGGAGAGGGAGACGAAGGTGAGATGCAGGGAAGCCGCTGGCGCGAGCGCGCGCGCGCGCACGCTCACGTACGTGTGGTGGTTGTGTGTCAGTGTGTGCACCTGTAATCAGCACCTCAGAGGTCCTCTATGTACGTTAACTGTTTCCTTTTCTGTTGTGTAAACGCATTTCTTTCCATTGGCTAACATTATTTATGCCAGAGGCATCAGCAGCGTCTTAAGTGGTTTTTATCTGCAGAACTTTGTACTTTTTCTACTCATCTCACATTGCTTTTTGCCATAGTCAGATTTCTCCTACGTGTCTCTCGATCCACAAACAGGAGCAAAATGAGGGACTTAACCTGGGGCTGTGCAAAAAAAATCAATGGCAGGGACATGTGGGTATTTAATTACAGTGCGTGGAAGACTAGAGAGATCTGTGGGTGCTGTGAGTGGGAGAGATTATCTCCAAACCTATCCGTTACGGCTAAAACTACAGCTGATGTCTGTTGCCTTTCAGCAACCCTAATGCAAATCAATATTCTCATGCATTTAATGTGTTTGGGTCTACAACCTGGTTGGTGCTGTCCTACCTTTTCAGAAACAGGTTGTGTATATACGAGGCAGGAGGCTTATATGTCTCCAGCCCCCTGAATATATTTGGAATAACCTCAATGTCATTGTAATGTCATTTGTAGCAATGGCAGCCTCAAGGCCTGCTTGCTTTAAATGCAGCAATCTCCCCCTATTTCAAAAAACCCATCAGGGAAGCCAGAGCGTCATAAAAACAGAGCTGGCTGCCTGATTTTACTGTCTGATCTTTACAAGGCTCAGACTGTGCTGTGATAGTTGAGGTCGTCAGATTATTTTATTATTGAAATAATGAGGAGTTATGATTAATTAGAAATATATTGATCTCTTTTCGGGTGCAGTGAGCATGCAGACTCTGATGCAAATCACATATAATCGCAATTAGTTTCATAACATGTAGGGATGCACAATGATATCGGAATCATAATGGTATCAGCAGATATTTGCTTTAATAAAATAGTGGCATCGGACAGATGTTTAGGCTTGACCGGTATTTCAGACGGATATCTGATGTTCTGTTTTTTGTTCTCCAGAAGAGCAGAACATCTAGGAGATGCTGGGTTACGGTGCTAAAATGTCTGCATGTTATTCATTTTACTACATTTGTAAACCTATAGAAATAAATGTTACATTTCTCTGTAATGCTAATTCAGGTGGATCTAGAGCTGGGCAAAGTGACAGTATTTATAGTTATTGTGATTAATTATGTTGCACTATGTAACAATACGCTATTCTAGGCATATTGTGGATATGGTCAGTACTTAAAAAAACTTTTATTACAAATAGAGCATAACTAATCCTGTTTAATTAGATTTAGTGTGGTGTAGTATGTGAAATGTTGAATACAAATCATTGTATGCATCATTTTGGATAGTATGTTTTCCAATGTGTCACTTCTTATCTTTTCCAACTTATCAGATATCAGAAAAATATATATTGGAACATGTCATCTATCATGAAAATTTGAGGTTTTGTGATTTTGCATTTTTTCCGGATTTGCTGCCTCTAATCTCGTACCAGTTTCTGCATTTTATAAATGTTTACGTATCCGCATTGGCAGCTATGTTCATGAAAAATATCAGAAATCGCCATCAGCCCACAATTCCCATATCATTGCATCCCTAGTATGTTTCCTGCGAATTTGTGTCTGCACTGTTCTGACTTAGCCAGTAGCATTGTATATTACAAATGTGGGAAAAGCTCTAGAATCATTACTCACTATTTTCTTGCTCAATTTGCTTTTAAACCCAAATTAAGAGGCTGCTGGGGGCTTAAGTGATGTAACAAAGCCTGAAATTGATCACAGCTTTTAGCCACAAATGGGGTATATTCCAGCAGTCATTTACTTTCATTTCAAGGTTTGCAAAAAAGAATTTAAGACAGAGTTTTAACACTTTATAGCAAAATTCCTCAGCATTGATTACTAGTCACTCTTACAGCTTGCTTGAAATAAATCATGTCTTCGCACAAATCTATCCCTCTGAATTTGTTCTGCTAGGGATAACGTGCAGATTAAATGCGGTAACAGACGGCACAGCTGCAGCATTAAATGTGTACACAGATTTCAGCTTTCTATATCTTTACTTTTTAAAGGCAAGAAACGAGCTGACTCACTGAGGACAGTTACGACAGAGAGACTGATTAGAGCCATGAAGTGTGGAATAGATTATGTCAGCTACTGAAAAATGTGGTTTATCTTGATAAAGCACTACGGATTTTTTCTATTCTGGGCCATATGTCTGGTTTTGCAGATTCCGTGGCAGCGATAAGTTATGCTTCAAGGGCTGTGGTGTTGTTTTGTTGTAGACTTTAAAAGAGATTGATGCGGCTGCTGGTACCTGCACCATTATTACTCATTTGGCCTTAGACCGCACTGCACAGACTATTAATAAACATAAATGCTTTTAAAAATACATCATAACTAAATACACTACAACATATGACTATATATTATTAAGGACATTAAACCATGGAGCTTCCAAAAGACTGGATGTGGCTCACTTTGCTATACAATTTTAATTAACTGCAGGTGAAATGAGGCAAAATGATTATTCTGACAGTAAAATGAATCTTTTTTTTTTTGTTAGACCATTACGTAGGAGGTGGGGAGGGGTGGGACTCTAGCAAAATGTCAGAAATAATGAAGGATTGGCTAGGATTGTCCGTTTACTATGGTCTTGATATTTTTGCAAGCCCCAGGGTTATAGTTTCCCAATTTGAAGCAGAAAAGTGGAGATTTTGTTGGAATGCTTTACTGCACACCATTTATACCTGTTTATAATATTCTTCTGTGTCTGCATATTTTCTCTGTGCACATTATTCATCAGAGTAAAAACAGGAACTATGAAAACCTCGACCAACTGTCCTATGACAACAAGCGAGGACCCAAGGTATATTTGCATGGTCAATGCACGCCGCCCAACAGTTATCTGAACGTAGCAACTAGAAGCCAGTCCAAAAAAAAAAATAAATAAAAAAAAATTCAACAAACAGATTCCAGAGATACCTTATCCTGCTAGCACGTCTATTTATGTTTGGGTTCTTTTATGATTGAGAATGGGTTATTTATTTATTTTATTTTAAATCGTATAATTTCAACAAAAGAATCGCCCCTTTTACCTCCCACTTTTTTATTTTTGTCTAAAGGAATGCATGTACTGAAGCCAGCAAGATTTGCAAGTCTATTCTTTTGACACAGTGCGTGGAGATCTGGTCGTGTGGGACAGGCACAATCCAGATGTTACTCCCACCTTTCTGCAGCATTACTGCCTTTTTACTTTTTCCTTTGGGAAAGAAGCCACCACCACCACCCTGCTCCCTTTCCTTCACCCGGTTTTTGCTTTCCGGTTGCATCAATCTTCTTCTCCCTCTTCCTCTAACATGCACGCTCTTCCTTGGAGTCTTGTTTCCCTTCAGTTTGCATGCTGACAAAATGCAGAACTTTTTTCCTCCTCCAAGCTTACTTTTTTCAGTTTAAGCAGATTATCACGGAAACTTTTTTTACTCCATTTTTCCCAATCCCTTTAATAAAAAAGAAAAAAAAAACTGAAAAAAAAAGAAGCAAGAGCGCTGAACAGAGCATGGTTCAGGGTGGCGATGAGTCAACCACTTGACTAATGTTGTGTCCTAATCCCAGGCAGAGAAAGTGCTCCTGTTCAGCCAAGACACAAATCTGACTGCTCTGCTCCAGGAGGCCAAGGAGCTGGAGGCCAGAGTCATCATCCTGTCTGCCAGGTGAGCTCATCTGCCCTGCAGCATAATACAGTATAAACACCAGCATGTGCAGGAAATGAAACTGTATCAGATCAGAATTACTAACTATGCCAGCCAGCGTGGCTGTTTTGTAAAAGCAGTGGTGCTTTTTTTCAGATGATTTAAAAATTGGGCTCAAGGTCTCTACAAAACTATAAAAACTGGCAACATATAACCATTTGATGTATGTCTGTTTTTTATTTGTCATACTAAGCCATTTTTGTTATCTGTAATATGTTTTTTCATTGTGATATGGTATATGTCTTCTTACTCTGAAAAATAAAGGTGCTAAATGGAACCCAAAAGGATTCTTAGGAGGCATTCTGTAGAACTTGGGTGGGCAACTCTGGAGGGCCAGAGTATTGCACAGTTTAGAGATTTTCCTGCTAATGCACATCTGTTTCAACTCATCAGTGAATTGTTAAATTTAGTAGATGCGCTAGAGCAGGGAAAGCAGCAAGCTGTGCTGGACACCGAACCTCACTTCCCCACCCCAGCCCCAGAAGAACCACTTTTGGTTCCGTAAAGAAGCGTTCAGTAGATATAGTAAAAAAAAACATTTCGTAAATTAAATGTACAATTGAAACGAATGTTTTTAAAGATTAAAGGATTTCCGTATCATGTAAAGGTTCTATACCAGTTAAAGATTTTTCCTAAAACCGTACGCCCAAGCCAAGAACCATTTGGTAAGCCCTATTTTTAAGAGTGAATTTGTATGAATATGCATTGCTACTTTGAAGCTAAGTAGCACTGTCAGTGACCTCAAGGCACTTGAAGGAGAATGTTGTTGAATACATTGCCAAGCAGACACTAGCATTGGAGATACACAAAAAAAAAATAGTGCTTTGGATTTACTTTTATCTACAGTACTGTGCAAAAGGGAAAGACTACACTTCATTTATTTATTTCTAGTCAAAATTAAGGTCATTATATACAAGTTATTCATTTTTTTGTGTCAGGAAAAAACAAAAAATGTGTTTAAGAGAAAATTACACAGTAACCTCCTCAACTAAATATAATATAAAAGATTTCACTATTTTGTGTGTGTATCCTTTGTCTTTATTACAGCTTCTATTCTTTTAAGGAGACTTGCTTTCAATTTTTCAAACAAGTCTGCAGGGATATTTTTCCACACCTCCAAAGTTCAGTCTTAGAAGTTGGTTGCATTTTTTGGTTCTCAGAATTCAAATAATTGGATTCACATTCAATGATGTTGAGGTCTGGAATCTATATCCTTTCCTCAGTTATGACTTCTTGACTGCCCATCCTTTTGAACCCATAGCGTTGAGTTGTTTTCACACAGTAGAAGGATGGACAGAAACATCTGTGGATTTTTTTTCACATCTGAAGCAATATTGAATCTTGATTTTCTCCTCTCTCTCAACGATGAAAGCTGGTCAACCAGGTCTTGGACAATTGTTGGGTGTCCAATTTTTAATAAATTTTTAAAACTCCAGTTTAGGAAACTCTTCTTTCCCCTTTCTTAAGCAAGTGGATTGTCTTCTATCTCCCCAGAAATATCTACTGAAAATTGAATACCTTGTACTTAATGATAGTTTTGACTGGAAATTAAAGAAATGATATGTGGTCACTTTTTTAAGTACACCCATAGACAGCACATGGCACAGCTATGATTCAAATCTGAACTCCAACAGAAGGATTCACCTCTACATTAATATGCAGTGTTTTTACAGTCTGTGCATCGAAGGCTGAACTGTCTATTTATTTACTACCAATGCGAAAAAACAATTAATAAGCAGTTTATTCAGTGATAGTATCACGTCCTTTTTTAGGCAAGGGATCAGTAGGAGAGACTCACCAAATGTCAGATTGTGAGCGTGAGGAGGCGCTTTTGCTCTTTTAGTCCAACAATCAACTTGACATTGGAGGCATTTACTCTGCATGATGCCAGCACTAACAGGCTCTATCCAATCACAGTGAAGACGAAGCTGCGGCCATTTACAAAGCAGCGCGCCAGCTCAATATGACAGGCTCTGGTTACGTGTGGCTGGTCGGAGAAAGGGAGATGTCTGGTAAAGCACTGAGTGAAGCTCCAGATGGTATGTACTATTCCTCCACTCCATCCCTCTCTCTCTCTCTCTTTCTCTTTCTCTTGCACAGACTGTGTAACAGATTGGACGTGTTGGCCTTAGCGCTTTTTATATGATTACAGTTTGCAATCCACATCGGCGAATCAGTGTCTGTGGTGTACTTGGGTGTTTAAACGTTTAAACATCTAGATGTTTAAAGGTTTTAAACACTGTGATCTTTCTGCTCATTGTACTGTGTGCTCTATGTCTAACGTTTAATTTGTTTCATCTTTAAGTGTGTGTCCTTTCTTTCAGTAGACTACAAATGATGCAATAGAGAGTTGTGGTAATCCATATTGGTTTGAATGCGCGTACATTATTACTGGTTTGGCTGGTCATGAGTTTATTTATAAGTGGTGCTTTGCTACCTCTACATTGAAGTGTGAATACGATGGTAAGCTACAACCGCAATTTCTTTCTGTCCTGGCTTCTTTATGCACATCCATGTAATCTTCACATCAGTGTGCTTTCAGTGCTCACCCTGTCCTAAACCCGCCCCCCCTCCGCCTATATCTTACGATGTCCCTCCTGTCTGCCCTCAGGCACTCTGTTACTATTGATAACTCTGTGCACGTCTCTTTCTTTATTTAACGACTGTTGTCTTGGACTGAGAATCTTTTGAGTTTGTGAAGCATTGCCCAACACCATGTAATGTTGTCAACTGGGCAGGCTTGCTCGGCCTCCAGCTAATCAATGGCAAGAATGAGTCCGCGCACATCTACGATGCGGTGGCAGTGGTGGCCCAGTCCATTCAGGAGCTCTTTGAGAAGGAGAATATCACAGAGCCTCCTCGAGGCTGCGTGGGCAATACAAACATCTGGAAGACTGGCCCGCTCTTCAAACGGTGAGGCCAGAGAGTTCGCTCTGTCGCTCTGCAACTACCGCGCTGCTACCACCATCCATCCGCTTTCATGCATTACCATACATTACCGCTGGCATTGGCAAGGGTGGGAGCTATCACACTGCAAATATTGGAATAAACAAGTGGTGTGAAAGTCAAATAAATTAGTAATGTGGGGGAAAAAAAATAAGGTTTCAAGCTATATTACTACAAACATGGTCACACAGTTAATCACGAGTTATAGAGGGTGGTACATGAATCATTTGATCTAAAGATGCACCAAGCCTGTTAAGTTGTAGATTACACTGGGAACATGATCTTTCAAATCCGGTCTGAATCCCGTCTCGGACCCAAAAGCTGGCATGTTCTTGTTCTTCTCAGTGTCATATCCAGTTCTGTTCACCTTCCTTTCTGCTTGCATACTGTCAGCACGATCTTTTTCCACCCATCTCCCGCACCCTTCTTTTTTCCATCTCTGTTCGTACGCACCTGCACTCCTCTCCTTGACTGGGAAAAAAAATCCCCTGCCATTACTTCCCATCAGTGTCAGTGTCACTCGTCGCTATTGAAAAGGGGATAGAGGGCGAGGGTTTTTGTGCAGTCTCTCACTCGACCCCCTCCGGTGTGCTAGAGTGCTGATGTCATCCAAGTATCCAGATGGCCTAACAGGCCGCGTGGAGTTTAATGACGACGGGGACAGGAGGTTCGCCCACTATAGCATCCTCAACTACCAGAAGACTCGGCTGGTCCAAGTGGGCGTCTACAATGGCTCACAAGTACGCAGTCACCTCAGTCCTGTTTAGAATCAGTAACATATTGCAATTTGACATGTGTAACCTTTAGAAAAGACTGAAAAAAATCTCTAACAATGTGATAGACTGTCACAGTTATGCAGTCATCTCAGCCCTGTTTAGAATCACTTAACATACTGCAATTTGACACTTATAACCTTTAGAAAGTGTCCTCTAACAAATCTTCTAACTGTCGAACTACAGGTTGTGATGAACACTCAGAGGAAGATCATTTGGCCAGGAGGAGAAACTGAGAAGCCAAGAGGCTATCAGATGTCAACAAGATTGAAGGTGTTTATTCATTATTTTCTCCCAGATCGTTCACAGTTTTGCTAAATTTCTCACATTTATTTTGGCATGGCTAATTGCCCGTGGAGAAACTCAAGCCTTGTGTCTGCTAGATTGTCACCATTCATCAAGAGCCCTTTGTGTATGTGAAACCGACCCTGCGAGACGGAACATGCAAGGAGGAATACACTGTGAATGGAGTCCTGATCAAAAAAGTGATCTGCACTGGCCCGAATGAGACCATTCCAGGTAACAATGTACCCATGCTAGCATTAATAGACGTACACTGTGAAACAAAAGTTTTGGGATACCTTTCTTTTCAAAAGCCTTTTAATAATGAGCACTTTTTCTTTGTCAGTTTCTAGTAACTTAACATATTAAATAGAAAGCTGTGAAGATCTTGCCATTTTTATCTGCAAAAACTGTAAATCTAAAGGAACAACGGACAAAAGCCCTGCTTGGGAAGAAAGCCAAAGCTCACACATTTTATCCCCTTGTTGTGCTGTCAGACCTTATCAGCGCTCAAACTTTTCAGCTGTTCAAACCACCTTTGAGACAAAAGATTTTCAATATGTGCTTTTAACAATAGTTTGGAAAAGGAAAGTTTTTTAGACAAAACCTACACTTTGTAGCAAGGAAGGCACTTTAATGAATATGGAGCTTAGTGCTGTAAGCTGTACACAAATCAGAGACCACTTTCATTTATTTAATTTCAAGTTAAAACAGCCATTAAGTACAAGTTATTCATAATTCAGCATCAGTGAAAAAAGCAGAACACAGAACTTCAACTAAATATAATATATTTTTTAGTATTTAGTGTGTCCTTTATTACAGCTTCCATTCCTTTCTGGAGACTTGCTTTCAGTCTGCAGGGATATCTTTCCATACCTCCAAAGTTCAATTGTACAAGTCTGATTGCATTTTCTGCTTTTTGCAATACAAGTAATCCTAAATTTATTCAATAATGTTGAGGTTTTAACTCTGGGCTGGTCAGCCTGTTGTTTGAAGAACACCAGCAGCTTTGTTTTATTTGCATTTTTTTTACATTTCCTCTTCTGAGTAATGGCTTCTTGACAGCTACATGTCCTTTCAGACATACAGCATTGAGTTCTTCTCACAATTTCTTTTTTCAGATCTGAAGCCAGAATTGAGCTTTTTATCTCTCAAAGATGAAAACTGTTCTATTTATCCGTTTGTCTGATTATTGTTCTATTTCCTCTGTATTTCTGAAATTGAGTTTTGGAAACTTTGTTTTTTAACTTATTTGCTTTGACTTCCCTCTTCCTTATGCGGGATTATCTTATATCTGACCTCCTCAGAAGTCTTAAAAATGACGTTTAATATAATGGCTACTTTTACATAATGGCTATTTTGAATAGAAATGAAGGGTAGTCTGTAACTTTTGCATAGTAGTGTATGTTTTCATCCTTATTTGAAAATTGAAAATCGACCATTTCAAAACAGAAAATGGTGTCCCAAAACTTTAAATGGTGTTTTGTAAGTGTGGTATTCATAATTCTTAATTGAACCAGTACTATATTGTGTGTCTGACTTTGGCTCTTTCATAGGTCGGCCCATAGTGCCTCAGTGTTGCTATGGGTTCTGCATTGACCTTCTGATCAAGCTTGCGACGACAATGAACTTCACCTACGAAGTGCATCTAGTAGCTGATGGCAAATTTGGCACTCAGGAGCGTGTGAGTAATATCAGTACTTTATTGATTTTGCCAATGCCCAGAGTTTCTCATTCGTCTTTTCCTAAGGTCATGCAGTGGAAAGTCATAACACATCTTCTTCTCTGGATATCTACAGCATGCAGAGCCATTGCTCACAGGTGTAATTACGGTTCCTTGGCAGTACTGGGGAACATTCTGGGCAAGACAAATTACTGCTCGTATTTTTCCCTCTGTTATTAGGTGAATAACAGCAACAAGAAGGAGTGGAATGGCATGATGGGAGAGCTCCTGGGTGGCCTGGCAGACATGATCGTGGCTCCACTCACTATCAACAATGAACGAGCCCAGTATATAGAGTTCTCCAAACCGTTCAAGTACCAAGGGCTCACCATCCTTGTCAAAAAGGTATAGCAAAATGATAATCTGAAATCTTCCTCCAGATTATTTTTGACCTTGATTAATCCTGACAGCATTAAACATCACATCGTTTAGTGCAGTTAGGGGTCAGAGTCACACCCCATGTATTCAGTTTAAGGATTAAATAAAGATGCAATAATGAGAAATTTAATAAGGCTCAGAGTCGGGATCAATTTGATTTAAACTTTGTCACAAAAAAGTAATTGAAATATAGGTAATTTGCTGAAAACTCCCCAGACAGCAGAGTTCTAGAAATGCTTCACAGTTCCTCTTGTTAATTAAATTCTCTTAGCTGAGCATATTTGTGCACTGGAAACTCTTGTGAATCCATTGTTAGGGCTTTTGGATGAAATCTATTAATACACCTAAGATGAGCCTAACTACAGAACATGTTAGATGCTCCATATGGTGGCTCATTTGCCAGTGTGGGTGGTGTGTGTTGGAGCTGTGAGTAATGCCGTGTTGTTGACTGCAGGAAATACCACGCAGTACGCTGGACTCGTTCATGCAGCCCTTTCAGAGCACTCTGTGGTTACTGGTGGGTCTATCGGTCCATGTTGTGGCGGTGATGCTCTACCTATTAGACCGTTTCAGGTAAAAGAAGCTCATCACTACCTGTCTCTCAACCTATGGATCACGGAGTTAATTTTCAATAGGTGGGACCAGGCTTCAGCACCTCAGACTGAGTAGGGTCAATAGATTGGTTGTCAGGGAGGACAGGTCCCTCAGTGCTTGTTGTCACAGTCACCTCTTTGACTTGCTTTAATTGGAAGAAACCACTGCTGTCAAACCCATGATACTATGAAGACAGCACAGTGCACTTAATTTGTTCCCAGAACCATATGATAATTTGTCATTGCTTGCAGAGAGCAACTTGATTGGTTACATTCTAAATGGCACAGAATGTACCCTATCAATAAAAAAGAAGGAGAGTTCAAGTGAAGTTTATTTTGCTTCAATTAATGGTCTATTTTCATGCAATGAATTAAGTCTTACATTCACAACAGAAACATGTGAAGGATAGACATGTACTTTTAATAGTGAAAGGTTAGTGAAAGTTTTTCTACTCTTAAAAATAAAAGTGCCAAATCATTTGTTTTCCTAAAGAACCTCTTAATGGATGGTTTTATAAGAACTATTTTAGTAAACAAGTGTAATGTTTAAGAACATCCCCATAATGGAAAGGCTGTATACAAATAAATTGTTTTTCTGAGAAACCTTTATTTTTTAGGAGTGTAGGTTTATGGCTCCTCCCACCTATTCCATGATCCATGTCTAAACCTGCTGTCCTACAAAGATATGCCACAATCCCCAGCAGCTGAACTCATGCAAAATGTTTTATTAGATGTTATTGTTACTGGAGTTTGCTCTAGTAAAGATGTTTCCTCTACAGCCCGTTTGGAAGATTTAAAGTGAATAGTGAAGAAGAAGAAGAAGATGCCCTCACCTTATCCTCTGCTATGTGGTTCTCCTGGGGTGTACTACTGAACTCCGGTATTGGAGAAGGTACATGACAGCAACGAGAATAATTTACTCAATCACGTCTGTCTGATGAGATTACTCCCTTAGTGCATGATTGATTTTTTAGCATGCATAAACGCTACTCTCTCTCTCTCACCCTGTACTTGCAGGTGCCCCACGGAGCTTTTCAGCGAGGATTTTAGGTATGGTGTGGGCAGGTTTTGCTATGATTATAGTTGCATCTTATACTGCCAATTTGGCAGCCTTCCTAGTGCTGGATCGGCCTGAGGAGCGCATTACCGGCATCAACGACCCTAGGGTGAGATCACTGAGGGCGGGCCAGCCTCACATGTCATAAAAATGCACGGAAAACACATACATTGCACAAACGCTGCTCACAGATCTCATGCTTTTGCATGGTACAGTATTAGGGCAGGCAATTAAGTCGGTCAAGGACGTAACAGACCTGTTTCATCTCAGGGTATTTTTAGATACCTTTCTCTCACCATGGAAAACCTCTACCCTGCTGAAATGATCAATGAACAGAAATTTCAAAGGGCTTGTATGAGGATAGTTCAGCCAAAGTTCACATTTAAATTCAAACACTTTGTTGTATAGTCACACAATTGCATTAGCATAATTGAGCATAAAACACAGTGGATTGATGAGGCACAGGAAGGACGATTTACATAGAAGTTCTGTGAGAAGCATTAAATGGCAAAGCAGTGGTACAGCACAGCATGCGGCATGTTCTCAGTGGTAGCTGGATTCTGGGACATGTTTTTTAGGGCATGCTTACCTTGGCCTGTCCTGTTCACTTCTAGCATCCTTCCCCCTAGCACTGCTATCCCATGTAGACAGTCAGAAAAGCCTGCCTTTGGATTTGCAAGATCCCAAATCCAGCTAACTTGAATTATTTAGATATTTTGGATGAACTGTCACTTCAGCGATTATGCATCTCGTGAGCTCAACAGGACAGCTCTTGCTGTGCTATTGTTTTGCAGCTGCGAAACCCATCAGACAAGTTCATCTACGCCACAGTCAAGCAGAGCTCTGTGGACATTTACTTCCGCCGTCAAGTTGAGCTGAGCACCATGTACCGCCACATGGAAAAGCACAACTATGAAAGCGCCGCGGAAGCCATCCAGGCTGTGCGAGACGGGTCAGTCACACACTTCTTCAACTCGTCTCAACAATTTGTATTGATAGAATATACTCTTAAAACTAAATAGTTGAAAAAATCTTTAAAGGGCCTATAGCATAAAAACTTAGATGAAGAGTTCGATGAAGTATGTAAACAGTATGAAGACGTTCCATTAATTCCAACACCATATGGTCCAAATAGAAAAATTAAGCTGCAAACATATCCTGTTTTAAATCCTGTGTGATTCTGTGATATCATAAAAACAAACTGATTTACATATGTCTGCTGATTTACCCCACAGCAGTTTAGCTCTGCCCATGCTTGTTGAAGTTATATGGGCTGTTTCAGCCTGGACTGCTTTTGATTGAGGCACAATACTGGAGAGTCAAGGGATAAAGAGAGGGTGTAAAATGGTAATGTAAGAGTGAATTATGGCTGTTCTTGTTACATAAACCCACTCAAAAGTCATTAGTGGGCCTCAGGGGGGAAAAATAAAATATAAGAAAAATGTGGAATATTGGCCCTTTAATTGCCATGGGACCTTTACATTATGTGGTGTTTCATTTACAAAAATGGTTCTTTAAGGAACCAGCCATTGAAAGGTTCTTTAAGGAACCAAAACTGGTTCTCCTATGGCATCTCTCCAAATAATGCTTTGTAGAACCTTTATTTTTAAGAATATAAGGGTGTGGATGCATGGTACTTGAATTTGTCTCTTTGTCTTGGCATATAATGCGAATGAGGAAGGAGCACAAAGTACATAAAGAATAAAACCAGACCTTAAATCACATTTAAACCAGAAGAGAATAAAACAGTTTTGTAAGCATGGACTGCCGGGATTGAGGGTGAACCTTTGCTTGTTTGAGATATTAATAGCAATTCAATTGTTATGTCCCAACACTGAGTTTGATAAAGCAGGCATCAAAGAAATATATACTGTACAATACAGTGATGTGTTTTACCAGCAAGTGCTGTGGGTGACAGATTCTCCTCTGAGTGAACAAACAGCAGGCAGAATGTGGATAAGGCAGTGCTTAGTCCTATTCAATACAGCTCATATTGATGCAGAATACAAAGCAGGATAGGGAGTAGCACTTCAAAGGGGGACCTTCATGAATCATTGTGTCGTACAAAGCACAGACAGAGACTGATGGCAGAGGGCCAGTGCTGTTTAGGGCCTGTGTGAGGAACAGAAAAATATAACACATTCAAATCAAATGAAGTTTTAAAGTTTTCACCCGCTGCCTGAACAAGGCCCAGCTTAATTGGGCTTAGAGGATTCATGGCAGTTGGCTCAGCCCAAAAAGAAGCCACAAATTCTTACTTTCTTGCTTAACAAATCCAGTCTCAGCCGGGGATCTAGAATTCAAAGCCATTGTAAAGCACTCTTCTCTCTGCCTTAGCAAACTCCACGCTTTTATCTGGGATTCAGCCGTGTTGGAGTTTGAAGCCTCGCAAAAGTGTGACCTGGTCACTACAGGAGAGCTGTTCTTCCGCTCGGGGTTCGGAATTGGCATGCGTAAAGACAGCCCATGGAAGCAAAATGTTTCCCTGGCCATTCTCAGGTAATGCCATCTTAAATCAGTCCAGTGCTGTCACTGTTTTTTGTTACTGTCTTTTAATCTTGTGGCCTCAGCCTAATTTGTGTCTCTTTTAAGTGGTCCAGTGTAGGTGGACTGAATTTGCAAATGTTTTCTGTGAATCAACAGTTCCCATGAGAATGGCTTCATGGAGGACCTGGATAAAACCTGGGTGAGATACCAGGAGTGTGACTCCAGGAGCAATGCCCCAGCCACGCTTACCTTTGAGAATATGGCAGGTATGATCCACATTTGTATTTTATGTAGCTGTCATCATATTTTAGCTTAAATTATTTGTGTTCTTCTTGATCTTCTTCTCATTTTTCTGGGCTTTCAGCTAGGGATGCAAAATGGCAATTGTGGAGAGATGCTTATATGCAATAATTTTTTTGTGCATATCTGCTATAGCCAGTACATAAACATTTATAAAATGTAAAAATTGGTACTTAATCTACCTGGAGCAGACAATTTTATAGGGTTACAAATGCAGTAAAGTAAATAAAATGCAGACATTTTAGTGCAACTGCAGAAGCATCACCTAAACATTCTTCTCTTCCATAGTAAAATAAATATAATTAAATATCAGTTTGAAATATCTGTCAAAACTAAACATCCTCGGATACCAGTGTTGTATTTTTAAGTAGTTTTTGTATTATCTGTCGATACCAATACGATTGGATTAGATATTACTGTACATCTCTGTCTGCAGCCATAGTAAAAAATTTGTCAGCCTTCAGCTGAAAGCAGCTAATAGAAACCTACATACACACACTGAAATGATTAAAATTTCAGGAAATTAGTTCATGAACACTTAATGGACAGAATTAATCCTTAAATAAAACAAATGTATAATAATAATAATAATAATAATAATAATAATGATAATAACTCTATGTATTATTGCATCTCTGGAAATCCTTAATTTGTATATCACCGTCACAGTATTTGACTTATTTAAAATCGAATTGCGACATTCATTTTGCAGGCGTGTTTATGTTGGTGGCTGGTGGCATCGTCGCCGGGATCTTCCTCATCTTCATCGAGATCGCGTACAAGCGTCACAAAGACGCTCGTAGAAAGCAGATGCAGCTGGCCTTTGCGGCAGTTAATGTTTGGAGGAAGAACCTACAGGTACGGCTGTCCGCTCCCTCATTCTTCCTACAGGATAAGAGTCTGCATGGGCCCCTAGCAGGCTGTTTACTGCTGCTACCTTATAAGTTTTCTGACACTAAATGGGGACAAATGGACCATTTTGTTCCTGCCTAGTCAGTTAGAGGGTTCAATTTAAAGACCCAAAGAGTGCAGCCAGCTGTAGCGAGATGCATGTTTAGCTCTTGACCTTTGCAATATGAAATAGACCAAAGGTCAAAAGACTACCTTTTCCCTCAAATGGCTATGCTTTAATGCATGCAGACTTACAGATAAATCTGTACTTCCACTGCCCATCAAAAGTTTGGGGATATCTTGCTAACATTTGAAATTTTCAAGTACCTTGGGTATATTTTGTTTATCAATGTGGCTTTCTTTGTATGAAGAGAAGGTTTTGTAAAAAAAAAAAAAATACTTAACCGTTTTCTTTTCCAGACCGTCTTAAGGGAGGTTTAAACAGCTGAAATGTTTGAATATGACAATACAACAAGGGAAAAAATCTGTGGAGTGTAATGACATTATTCCCAAGGTAGTACTTCTGTTTTTGCAGTTTTTGCAAAGAAAAAATGGCAGGATCTTACTAACTTCATATTTAGTTACTGCAAGCTGACAAACAAAAAATCTTACTCGTTTATTAAAACATTATGAAAATCTAGGTATTCCCAAACTTTTGACAAGCAGTGTATTTATGCTGCATTTACAATTACATGATAATAAAGCAGTTACAGTGAGTGAATATTGTATTCACCCACAGTAGAATATCCCAGAGCAGGAAAACTATTGTTGTGCAAATTTGGGCTTTTGCCCATAGTATGCTGATGTTATGATTGAGATCATATGAGTGGTTCACTGCAGATCCATGCTAAGGATCAATTCCTTCCACGTCTTCCACTATCCAATCAGAGTGCGCAGCATGAAGAAACAGCTTCTCCATTCTCCCCTACTAAATCTCCACTAAGCAGAGCAATACACACGCACACACTAACACACATACACTACAGCAGGCGGTGCTGCTGTGGCGGAGCGAGGCCAGTGCACGCTGGGCTGTGCTCTAACTGAAAGGCCATGCTAGCCGAATGTCTCAGTGGGGTTCCAGCAGGGATCAGAGGCTCTTCCTGCCTGTGTTCAGATCACTGTCCCCTTACTGCTGGTCTCAGTCTAGGTCAGTACATGCTGGGTCACTGGCCTACACAACAGCAGGAGGCTGGTGAAAACCAGTGTGTCTTGCCTTTCTCCAACTGAAAAGCCCAGCTGTGTTTCTATGTTGGTATAATGAAGGCACCACAGTAATCGATCTCAGTATAAATCAGAAGCAGCATAGGTTAAGTTGTAAAAACATACTTACTGTTTATATGTAAACATAAAACCTGTTGTTCAAAAGTTTGGACTTGCCTTCCATATTAATGATTTTCATTATTTTATATACCTATATATACACTATAACATACATAATGCAGTTTAGACATGAATTCCCAAAAAGTTGGGATAGTATGTGAAATGCTAATTAGAAAGCAAAAATAATTACCTTATAAACATGTTTTGTGAAGACACGTTCACTCCAAATTTGATGCCTGCAACACTGATCCAGGTTTGAGGTCTGATTTTTTTGCCATTCTCCTATTGTATTCATATTGTATTTCATTGCCCAGCCATACAAGGCCTTTGTTGTCGTATTTCATGCTTTATCATATGCCACACAATTTCAGGGAAACAGGTCTGAACAGACAAGCCAGTCTACCACCCACAATTTCTGATAATGCAGCCATACTATTATAACATGCAGAATGTGGCTTTGCATTATCATTTTCAAAAAAGCATGGATGCCCTTGAAAAAGATAGGCAGCATATCGCTGTTGTCAGAAGAAAAATCTCCAAAATGGTGACTTTACAGGAAAAGGAAAAACCTACTTCACTTTTAATGTAAGTCAATGGAACCAGACTTTTTTCCAAGTAATTTTGGGCCGTTTCTTTTGGTCCATTCATCATGAAATTTACACACAATGTAAAGGCCAACAGGCATTTTCAAATGGAGATACGAGGTTTTCTTCCGACAGCAGCGATATGTTGCTCCAATATGTGTACATATCTTTCAGCACTGATGGTGCCCTCACAGATGTGCAAATTACCCATGCCATGGGCACTAATACACCCCTTACCATGACAGACCTTGACCTCTACACTCATAACAATCTGAATGGACTCGGGAGAAATAACGTTCATTATTTCTATATAACAATCTGAAAGGTTGACTCATGTGACCACAAAACATGTTTTTACAATGCTTCAGTCTATTTCAGATAGATAGTCTATTTCAGACATACAGACCGTGGCATGGCGATGTCATGTTGAAATAGGCATAGGCATCCCTGAAAAAGATGGTCACCAGAAGGCATTATATGCTCCAAAATGTGTAGATATCTTTCAGTGTTAACAGTCTCTTTACAGGTGTGCAAGATACCCACCAATTAAATATAGGGTTTAAATGATTTGCACATCATTGCATTCTGTTTTAATTTACATTTATATTTACATATTATATTATATTCTGTTTTTATTTAAATTTATATTTACATTCTGTTTTTATTCACATTTTGCTCAGTGTCCCAACGTTTTGGAAACAGGGTTGTACAGTAAGTTTACATTTACATATAAAAACATTTTTATATAAAAAAATATTACATTTACATATAAAAATATAAAAAATATTTAAAATAAAATTATTAAAAATAAAATATTACATTTACATATAAACAATTAATAATATTTCATTTACATATAAAAACATTTTTTAAACAAAAGTTTTTATTTGCATTTCACATACTTTTTTGGAAAGGAGGTTTGTTGGTTTAGGCTTAATCTGGGTCTGGGAAAATGCCCCCTGATGTTTTATTCAACATTTTAAATATTTTGATAACTAGAAGGTATTAAATGATAGAAAATATCAAATAAAATATATTGTCTTTTTTTTACTTCTAGAATCATCTACAGGTCTCCATCATTCTGGACACATCTTAAATTCCTTTTTATACAGCTTCTGATTAATAGCTTGAAACCTGTTAAATTTTAGGGTAGTAGCATCATATTAGAATCTTTGTAAACATGCATGTACAACAAAATTGGTTTAATATTGAACATTGAATCCAAACTTTTGAACATTAGTGTGTATTAAAAGCAAACGTTAAAAAAGTTCACTGTATAATGGTAGATTTTTACATGAGCCAGTTGATGTAGCAGTTATTCTCTGTGCAGTGATTCTTAGGTCTATATTTCTCCACAAGGCAAAACACATCTCTCATGTTCTGGATTTAAAAATCTGCACAGCAACAATGCCCACAGTTTTGTATTGAGGTGTATTTGATTGTCTTCTTCACATCAGAGATGTTTTGGCCCGAAGGCTGTTTATGCCTACTGGTGTCTAAAGACACGGTGGCACGGTTACTACGCCCACCCATTCTACCCACATAGAGTCACGGGGCCAACACTGATGAGAGTGTATAATTAGAGTGAATCACTGCTGGCCCTCGAGGAAATCTGGATTTTGCTGTTTCTCTTTTCCCACCATTTTATCAGCTAAAGGAAAAATGGAACAAAGATAAACTGAGATGTGTGGATAATCTGTTCATATTAATACGCATCAACATGCGCAAAAAAGCAAAACACTGCTGGTGATTTTTTGGGCACCAATGAATAATTTGCCCTCAACAGCCAAAATCAACCATGCCATGCAAAGCGTAATGCTCATCCCATGGTGCCTATGCCGTAGGCCAACGATACTGCCCGCCTCACACTGTGGCTTTCTGAATGCATGACTGGTCAGATCTGCCCTGGCAGCATTTGCACTTCAAACAATGCAGGCCAGGTGCAGATCAAGAATCCATGCGCTCCAGGCTGGACTGTTTGGCTCCGAGACACTGGCTCATCAGAGGGGTTTCAAACGAAACGGATGAAAGCATGGACGCTCCAAAAAGACGTGAACGGTCACGCTTTCTCTGCATCCAAGTTCTTCCACTAACCACTGAAGAAAAAAGAAATGTCATTCCATGGTTGAAATGTTACTGTGCATACTTTCTGTGGTGAAATGTGATGGAGAAATCCTGCTATGCTGCCTGAGAGAAAGAGAGAAAAAAAAAACTGTACCACCCTATGAAGACAGAAATATGCTCACACTGTTGTATCATTGTATCACAAGTATTTCAAAATGCACTTTATTCTACAGGCTTACTAAAAGGATTCCTCATCAATTGGCCACTTAACCCAAGGTCAATGAATGTAACTAATAAATGACTTTCAAGCATTATGTTAATGCTTATCAGACGCATTTTATTACTGTAAAATAAAGTGCAATCTGGTTTCAGTTCACCCCTTTGTCAAAATGAGTGTCCACTAGATGGGATGGGGGTCTAATTGGGCGAATCAGCCACACGGAGGCCCAAATCCGGTTCTAAGTCTATAAAGGACGGTGCTGGCCAAGGTCAACTGTCATGTCATTCATTTTGCATTTCCTTTTTCGGTTCCATGTACTGCATGTCCTCTGGTTGAAGTCACTTCCCCACCTCCTTGGTATTATCAAACTCCCCCCTCTTATGAGCTCTCATACCCCTCCTTTGCCCTCCCAGCCATTATACTCATCCCCCTGGGTATAATGCAAAGGGACCGTGTTGAGTTTGGATTTCGATTACTTCTTGATTGGTTTTTCATTTTTTTTCTTCCATGAAACAGTCGAACCACTCCTACCTTTCAAAACACAAAAAAAGAGAAAAAAGCTGCTTCTTTCTGTCTTGATTGCTTTCATTTTGCTCATTTCCTTTGCTAATGCTTTTTGCTTTCCATTACAAAGAAGTAAGAACTGGAGATGGCTCTAATTTTTTTTATCACGCCATCCTCAGTAGTCCTCTCCCCCTCTAGAGTTTCAGGATTGTATAAGTACATATGAGTAGACTTTTGTAAGTATCTCTCTCTGCATAGTGCTTGCCAGTGTCCTTTTTGCTCTGTAGAACCCTGAGGGTGCATGAAAGCACTATTGTGACTCAAAGCCAGGACGGAGATGCAGAGTGAACAGTAGATGATTACAGCTGACGGCATTAAAAAAAAAAAATGTCCTCAGCCAAAGTTGATTGTAAATATATAGACACAGAGCATGAATAGTCTTAGGAGTAGCATGATAGTGGTAGTAGTAGTTTGGTGGGTGGTGATGACTGGAGACTTAAACCAAGCACACTCCTCCAGAGAACGCAAATAATTGTTCTACATAATACTGTATATTTATTTTAGGATAGGAAAAGTGGTAGAGCAGAGCCCGACCCCAAAAAGAAAGCCTCTTTTAGGTCCATCAGTACCAACCTGGCCTCCAACATCAAGAGACGTAGGTCCTCCAAAGACACGGTAAGGAGATGAAGAATATGACACCCTGCCCTGTACTTCTCTCTCACTTCTATCTCTCTTGCTCTCTCCCCTCTCTTCCTCCTTCTCCTCGAGCCTGCCCTGTTTTCCTCTCGCTCTTGTCCACTCTCTCTCTCCCTCTCTCCTGTCACCTCATCTCTCCTCGCGAAACGACGTCTCATCTCAGACTATCTTCACCCTCACACATGGAGTTGCGGTCATGGCCACATGTCTGTCAGTCAGCTCATCAGTGCTCCATCCAGACATCTGTTGGGAAAGCCCAATCAGGGACGTAGCCGCTAGCTGTAGGGAGCATGCCAATGAGGGCTGTGGGTTAGGGCTGTGGATGGGTTTGAGGGGTGGGTGTTAGGTGGGTGCAAAAGGGGGCAAAGTAGTCTCTCCCTTAACGCCTTGTGCTGGACTTTCTCCCGTGCCTAACCTGGATGGGACTTTAATTTTGACGCTCTTACATTTTTTATTTTCTTCTTTCTTTATATGTGTGCGTTGTCTTCCCCTTCACTGCTCAGTCTCGTTATTTTTTTGTTTTTTCACTTCCTTGTCCCATTTTATGTGGTTGGTGTCACACACAAAGTCACTTTTCTTGTACGCCTCACACTCAGTGCACGGTTAATGAGCTAAAAAAATATATATAACATTAAAGCAAAAGAGATATAAAAACAGGCAAGGCTAAAATAACCTTGGTTATTCCCTCAGCAGGCCCTGTTCCATTATGGTCTCTCACTTTATTTTTAACCTTCAAACGTTTCCTTTGCAGTGCCATCAACTCAAGTACGTCTTCCTTATCATTTCCAGGAAAGGTTCTGCAGATGACTGCCGTGGTCTGGTGCTGATACATTGTTGAATGCTATGAATGCTATGAATGCTCGTACTCCCTGTAGGACCCGCTGGCGCCTGCACCTGCCCACAGTCTTTTATCCTCCCACAGGTTCAGCCAGTGCCAGCTTGCACATGAAAGAGCATCAGGCTCTGGGGACTCAACACAAACAATCCTGAAAGCGACTATTTTTAATACAAGCAAATGTATTATTGCATTACCCTGTTCCCTTTCAGGTGACATGCTCTTGAGTTTTCAGGGGTTTTTTTTTTTCTGTTTCGCCCTAAATCATTCACATGTGAAATGATACCAGTCTTACTTTTGCCATTAAGACATCTGACATACCCTAGAACCGAAAAGTCCTGCTCCTTCAGCTGACTCCTTCTGAAACGTCCCAAATCATTTGTATCTGAGAGTAGAATTCAGTTAGTCAGTTAAGAAGATCCACTTCTCCCAGTGTAGATACAAGAAGCTGGAGATACAAGGCAGATAACAAGCCAGGAGAGCGCTTTTTTATTTTGTTTATCCTCACAGCATTTAATATATCCTGTCACATCTGGACAGGCTTTTTTTTCCCCCATTTTGGCCAGAAATACAAGACACAGACTTACACAGGTGACACAAATGTGGCATTTAGAACAGAGCTCCACAGACAAACTGCCTCTTTGAACTGACGTTTACCCATCTCAGTCCTAATCATCCTTTTCTTTTATATCAGTGTGTTTTTTATAAATGGATTTCAATGGAGTTTTAAATGTCAGTGTCTACGCCACATGCCACACTGCCTTCTCTCTTCCTCTACCAGCATGACTCCTGTGGTTGTTGTAGAGTTAGACCTCTCCTGCTGTTCGCCTGTCTGTAGGCAGGGGGCGCTGTAGGCTATGATTCGGAATGCTCATGCTACCCACAAACCCTGTTGTTGTCAGTGAGGCCAACCCAAGCCAGGTCACCTTGCCCAAATTTGGAAAGAGTGATACACTGAGCAGCCATTAAATTAGAGACACAGACAAGCAGAAATGAATTAGGCACGTTCTTACATTGTCGAGACAGAGATATAAACTTTGTGGGGCTATTTAAAGTATATCAAAATAATAATCTGAACTGATATTATGTTCATCTTTAATTGGCCTTCAGCGAGATCTGAAGCGTGCAGTGGAGCGTATTGGAATTTCAGGGCTCAGCTCTGCGCGGGCTGTGGCCCTCATATGTCATTAGGACAGTTACTATGGTGATAATACTTCTAGGTCAGGTAAATTATTAGCCACAGGCAGAGAGACTCTAGCACTGGCGTTTATGTCATTAGGGCTTTCTCCGAGACGTTTCCGGCCCAAGATGTATGGGCTCCATTAATGAGCCCCCCCGTTCAATTTTAGATCGCTACTGTACATGAAAGCCGGCTAACGATGAAGAGTGTGGCTGCAGCGAAGCTTGAAGACGAGCTTGTGCAATGAATCAGTGACCCTGCACTCTGTTGATTAGACTGCAAAGTCCAGAAGGCTTTGCACATTTAAAGTCTAGTCAGTATAATTCAGTGGCAGATACAGCCTACAGTGGATGGGGGGATTTGCCTCACTCATAACAATGGAATAGTCAATGTAATGCAACATGAAATGCTTGTTTTACTTGTGTTGATAGGGGAAAAAATTATTATTCCTGTTGTTTTTTTCTTTTTGTTTGTGTTCCTCTTCGTCTGTAGCCATATCCCACGGACATTACCGGCCAGCTCAACCTATCAGACCCCTCTGTGAGCACAGTGGTGTGAAGGCAAACGAGGGAGCGAGAAAGAGAGGTAGAGTGAGAGAGAGAATGACAGAGCGAGACTTTGTGGACTAGAAACGGAGGAGATGGTTGGGAGGGGTTGATTGACTTTGAGCCAAGCACGCTGATCCCTAGCTGCTGCTGCTGCTGCCCCGCCATCTGAGCCGACGACATGTTCATTTGAACAAAAAAGAAAAAAAAACAGTGAAATCCATCACACACTCCCCTCCCCCTAAGGCCTCTGTGAAACATGCGCTGGACATAAACATGTCACATGGACAAGACCGTGCCAAAAAAAAAGAACTGCACTGCCACATTAGACCCTCAACCATAAACAAACACCTAGACCATCCACTTCATTTTTGTATGCTTTACACATACACTCAATTTTAAATCTGGAGCATGTATACATGTTCATAGCTCAAGCAAATTTATCACACTGCATTCATATTACACAAAATATAGGTTTCCCCCTTATCATACATTTGTTCATTATGCGGTAATGTTTGTCTTTCTACCTCCACTTATTCTCACACACTTAAGATATATGTAGCTATTTTGAGCACTGACTTTTGCTAATGTTTCATTTGTGAAAACATTTTGTTATTGCACATATAGAGTGTATCTCTGATTGTTATTTGTATTATTAGACTAGGCAATAGTTAAATAGATCATGCAGAGTAGATCAAGCAGCACTGTAAATAATGCTGTAGGTGCAATAGAGTTTGGCACATTTTTGGGTCCATGTTGCACTTTGCTGTATCCCGCAGTGTTCGACATATAGATCTCTCTCTTCTCTCCACTGCCTTCTCCGAAGTGTGGTCTGGATCACTTTAGACGACAATACTGTGTGGACTCTTGATTAATTTTTTTGTTTGTTTTCTTTTTTCTTTTTTTTTGTATCTACTTTTTCATAAACTCCAATCTTTCTAATGATAATGGTAACGCGCTGATCTACGAGTATGATGGGGTCTTTTTGGGAAACCAAGTGTGAAATGTAGCAGAACTCCTACTCCTTTTTATTTTTTAATCGAACTATTGAGCATTGTGACTCAAACCAATGAAAGGAACCCTAACAGACAAAAACGTGGCGTAGATATAATGATACAGCTATTATTACAGGTTGTTTTAAGCGGCTCTTTTTGTTTTTCATATTTTTTCCTGCTTGAAATTTCCTGTAATGATTTCAGTATCATTATCTGAAGTCGGTAGCATGCCTCCTTCTGCTACCAGTAGGGTACTTTTCATTCATTTCAGATGTATTATGATATGTAATCAGTATTGTATTATCTTTGTAAGTTATACATATATATATATATAATATGGTGACGTTACACCTGTGTATATTTCCCTCGTTCTCTGTTATCAGCTTGTGCTCTCTCTCTGGGCTAGCTAAATGGTCACATGCAAAAACGAGATCATATGCATTGTCAAAATGGTCTTTTTCCGTGGCTTGTAACAGTGCACTGATGAATGATAGTATCAAGTATTAGAACACTGTATCGCACTTTTGTCTTAAAACAATCAGTCTGAGGGCTTTGCTAAGCGATGTGTGAAATTACGAATGTGACCTATGATCCTGTTACATAAGTTATGGAATTATTTTCTAAGCCGAAAATATTAAATGGAGCAAATATTTTTTAGACAGTGTCTGATAGAGATTGTTATAAGTGGATTCTTTGTACGTTCTCAATTGTGATGGCTCTTTGGTTTGCGAAGTTTTGACTGTGAACATTAAATCCACAAGTGAAATTCTTGTAATGCTTTAAGCATTTGAGTATAGTATTTAACTGTGGCTCAGTGAAAATGAACTATGGCCTAAACAGACAAAGATGTTTTCATAATGTTCAAGTAATAGTTTATCACGTAATGATAGGAAGTATATTTATTGTGACGATAGCTAGGATACTGGGAAGTCTTTCACCAGGGTGCTTCTGGGAGTTGTTGTCTATGTGTGAAAAGTGCAAACGCAGTGCTCAAGGTCATCTAAGGAAGACAGATGTTCATGTAATTAGGGACAGACCTTGGACAAACATAACCATGTAACCTGCCTGATCCACTGTTGTACACAAATGTTGTGATTTTTTTTTCTGTAAGGCTTCAAAGATATTTTAATATAGTCAAATTGAGTTCTCATTAAGTTTTCTACCACCAAATGTGCTTTTAAAGGTCATTCCTATTCTGAGTTGAAAGAAAAATGAAGATATATGTTGAAAATGTATAAATCTATACTCTTATGTGCCAATAAAATATATCAGACTGAAAAAATAGAAACTGACCTGTGAATTATGCATAGTTCTTGTAGGATGATGTTGCAGCTCACTGGTTCACTGTTCCCTGAGATTTGATGAGGGACTAGTTTCAGTGCGTGTGAATCAATATTATATTTAATTCATGTTGTGGTTCTTTTGAAACTACTGGAAGTTTTATGCCGGAGGCGAGTGGAGCAGTACTTTCAGAACGTTAGGTAAACAGGAGAGTAGGATTTACAGCAAAGTCAAATGCAAAAGTCAGTTGGCAATAATATGCGAGTGGGCTGCTGGAGCTGACCTTTAGCACATGAAGTGGTTTATGCATATTCAGTGTCTGAATGTTACAAACTCTGGGCTGAATAAATTGCAGAACCAATTGTGTTTGCAGTATCTGGCTGTTTTATTTAAATTGCGTATTGACCTCTGTGTCTGCGTACTTGAAGATGAATATTCGGTTCATATTAACCCAAGAATGCATGACCCCAAGAAACCTACACAAATGCATAAAGGGGGTCAAAATTACCCATTTTCTTCAAAGAAAAGGTCCAAACATTTTAGCTATAGTAGTCTTCTAGCTAGCTGATTCAGAATATCGGAATACCTATGTTTGAAAATCTGTCATATATTTTCAGAGTTAAAAAAATACAGTATTTGTAGACAAAACTCACACTGAAAAATCACATGAACAGTAGGTCATTGCTTGCAGCAAATTCACAGTTGAATATTGGCTATGATGTCTGAAGCAAATTCTGAACTGCAGTTTATATGGGACAAAATAATACAATCATTTATATTGCATATCAAGCAATTAAATGTTTGTAGAAAATGACAATAATATGACAGTAAAAAACATCAATTTAGGACATAATCATGTAGTAAATGACCCTTTTACTAGACTAGTTGTCATGTAGAAATATCTTTTGAAATTGACAGTGTCATGACTATTTTTGATTAATCCATGAAACATCAAAGAATGAAATATTCTTATTGATCAAAAAATATATAGCCCAAATTCCCTAGGAAATTAAAAGGGTATGTTTGATCCCTTAGAGACTTATAGACTTATAAACTGATACAAAAATGTTATTTTTTCAGAATCTGATTAAGAAATATGGAAATTTCATTCATGAGGCTCACAAACAAGTTTTTGAAGAATACGTGAAATACTGTTACACCGTTGGGTCCATTCAACCTACTTTATGCAGTCTAGGGTTAAAAAGTGCTTCTAGGGTTAGAAAAGATTTTACTCATTTCATCAGCAAGTACAAACACAGTAAGTAAGATGGATCTAACCACTGTAGAAATGATGAAAACCTCATCTAATTTTAGACTGCTTTGGAGTAGTTTAGAACAAGAGGTCAGAATGCTATTTGTTTAGCTGTCACAACCCATAAAGTATTGATCTGAGTAAAACGCAAAATAACTGACTAAATCTATCTCAATCTTTCATCTATTAATATAGAGGGAAATGACATATTCAGTTCTCAAAAAGGCCACTGTTTTTTATGTCCAGACAAACCATTTGAAATGCAAATAAGAAACTTGAGAGGCCAGTGTGTTTGAAAGTATGATTTGCACTTACTTTGTCTCGCACAGTCATTTGAGTAAACTATTTAACTGTGGCCAACTTTGGTCTCTGTATGTATGATTTGCACCTACTTTGCTCAGTCATATACTGTTTAGGTGCCAGATGTTTGTAATGGCAGACAATCAAATAATCAACATCTTTCATAAGACAGACAAGGTCACTGTCAGGCAGAACTAAGGAGCCAATGAGTTGCAGCAAAGCAAACAGAGGGGTGGAGTTGGAGTGGGCCTATTTGCTTTGAATAGTCCAAACATCCGAGACCTTGGGTCAGAGACTGGACATAACCTGTGACGCCTCCCTATGCTGCAGACCAGCGAAAGAAACGTGCACCTGCTCCATCTCTACAGGATCAAGCTCACTCTCTACGTGCCACTGGCAGGAAGCAGTACTGAGGTAGGGTTTTCCTGTTTGCACCAATTTGCACCTTTTTGCAGTGGTGACCAAACCTCATCCTGGAGATCTTCCTTGCTGTAGGTTTTACCTCCAACCCAAACCTAATCAGGCACTTCTGAAGGCAGAAATTAGGTGGATCAGTTGGGGTTGATTAAGAAGCTGAAGTTCTGAGGTTCTTATTTAAATTTTCTGTTCTGCCTTACACTGAAAATAAATTATTGTAATACAACTGCTGCACCATTTAAGTTGGAATGGAAAATTCAAATAAGAACCCAACGTCAGCTTTTTGGGTGTATTAGAATTGCAACTAAAGTCTGCAGGTAGGTTGATCTCTAGGAGCAGCGTTGGTGAACACTGCTGTAAAGTAAGTTGGTTGCATCTAACCATGATACCAACAACCTAATCAATTTCTGGACTGTAGTCAAGGGGGTACTGAGAACAAACGGCCATAGTGCTATCTGTTTATATTGAACAAGTTTCTCTGCAGATGGTTGAAGCTGAGGAGTAAATTTGCATTGTGAAATGACCAGCCCTGTAGCAATATGGCAGAGTGACTCACTGTTCAGGTTGTCTAAGTGACACTCGAGTGGACCTGAGCTGTTTCTCAGGCAACGCCTGCACTGACAGCCTCAGGGTGAGAACAAGAAGAACAGTGAACCGCAAATATGAAACTTGGCAGATGGTTAGTTCTGCTGGCCTTTCACACCAATTAAAACAGTTTTGGCCACTAACTAGACAGCAGTTGTTGCTGTGTATATACAATATGTTGACAAGTTATCAGGTACACTTAGTAAAAAGGTGCACTTTGTAGGTTTGCAATTACTGACTGTTGCTCATCTGTTGCTGTGCAATGTCATCCACCCTCTAACCAATACAGTATTGGAACAGGAGCAGCACAGAACTACCACTTGTGTGGTAGACCATTTTCAGCACAGAAGTGGCACTGACTGGCATGTGTTGCATGCATGTGGTACAAGAGTATCAGGCACAGAATTAAGACTATATACTGTGGCCCCAAAAAGTATTTGGACATTTGTTTTATACTGCAAAATGTATTGCGGTCCTTGTGTTATGCAGTTAAGTGCCATTTATTTTAAATAGACTATATTATCCAATATTTTTTCACAAAGTGGCTGTTTTGATTCAGAACTGTTGTCGCTTGAACAATATCTTTGTAGGCTTCTACAGGTTTGCTTCCAAATGCCTTTGTACATTTCTAAGTTTATGATCCCATCAGTAAACACCAAAGCTTACCAACACCATTGTAAGAGAAGCAGCACCAGACTCTGGCATCATCTCCAGACTTGCTCCACAAACAGTCAGTGGTTAAAGTGTTCCAGTACTTTTTGGGACCACTGTATGTCAATCAAACAATTATTCCATATCTTTTTTCTAGAGCGTACTTTTCCCACACAATTTCTGTCCATCAGCTTCTAGTTCTTCATCAGTGGACCACTGTTCGGTTGGATATTTTTGGTTGGTGGACTATCCTCAACCCAGTAGTTGCCACTACCATGTTAGTATCTGTGCTTTGTTGAAAATGGCCCACGACCCAAATAATTTCAGGTCAGTGGTGGTCCTACAGCGGTCCATTTCCATACATGACACACTGTACCGCCACAGATGGGCTACAGTCAGTAATTGTAAACCTACAAAATGCACCTATATTATAGATGTTTCTGATAAAATGGGCAGTGAGGGTGACTACAAGGACCCATTAAACTGTCTCCATGTACATCATGCACAGTGTGTATGTTGTGTAAAAATATAGCACAGTGCTGATGCATTTTTTAACGTCATCTCTTATTATAGTTTGGCAGGTATTGCTCTCATAATTGGAAGCTCACCTGCCATCCTGTCCCTGTTTCTCTACAAATCAGCTTCATCTGTCTCCGAAAACCTGCAGTATGTGCGAAGCAGAAAGTGCAGCTCACACTGAAGGTGTCTCCATCATCAAACTACCTCATCCCTCCGAGCCCCTGCCAAAACGATGGCTATGGAAATGCAAACATGTCCGTGGCCTGATCTGCCAGAGTGGACCTCATCTGGACAAGCAGCGCCTCCTGCTGGTGGGCCTGGTGCTGGTGGCTCTGTGCGGCATGGTCCTGCTTCTGTTATGGAACTATCAGTGCTTCATAGTCACGCAAGTGTGCCAGGACCAGGAGAACAGCTTCGTCCACTTTGCCACCGAAGAGGAGGGGCCTTCTTCACATGAACAAGCTTGAGGGAAGGCCAGCTGTTCATGAAAAGACTCATTTCAAACAGGGTCAGAGAGACAGAGAGAGAGAGAGAGAGAGAGAGAGAGAGAGAGAGGCAGAGAGAGACAGAGAGAGGGAGCTTTTCATCAAACAATCAAGGCAACTGAGGGGTCTGTGTGGAATCCTATTCACTACTTAATTTAAATGACCCACTGACCCGAATGACGTTGATTGTTTGAAAATACATGCACATGTTATATATGTGAACTACATTTCAAATACACTGTGTTACATTTTTAAATGCATTCCAAGCACAAAAATACATTTTAAAAAAGTTTTTTGACATTTTCATGTGTTGCACAATATTTTTGATCAATACATAATACATATATTTTGCCATATTTGTAGCTACTGAAAAAAAAAAATCAAATTTGGGCAATTTTCTTTTACCCCAAATGTAGCTGATCAACCAAGACATGTTTGGTGATTGAAATTGGCATTTGTTTAGTTTTACACCATAATAGAAGATGTTGTATACATATTTTTGGGTGACACAGACTATTATAGTAGCCTCACGGCTTTAATGTAAAGCTAAAGAAGTGAACATCTGATAAACATGTCCTGGTCAATTGTCTATATTTGCCATAAGTGGAAAAATGTGCAAATTTGATTTTTTTGGTGCACCATTCCTTTCACCAACAGAAGAAGGAGTACCTTCTCAAATGTCCATCTAAGGTAATTTTACCCTGTTTTTCTGCAATGTGTTAATTCAAAGATGCGCTAAAACAGTAGGTGACAATAAGTCAGACCACATCCTGCATGGTTGAGACACAGGAAATGACAAGTTTCAAACTTGTCATTAAAAAAAACATATGTTGCCTCAAACACCAGCATGCATGTAGTTAATGATAGTATTGACTAAACTGGTGTGAACAATGAGTGCCTGGGTATGATTAGAGAACATGTTGAGATGTGGCTTATTTTTTTAAGAACTTAGCCTGAAGCATATTAAACTTCAAAAGATGCCTTTCATAAATGGCAGCAAGCAAATAAGGATATAATGTAAACCCACTGAGTAGCGTGCTACGAAGTGAGCATACAATCCATTATTTGCTTTTTTGTTATTGTCTCCATTACATCACTCAATAATCAAATCATTTCATTCTCAAGTTTTATATTCCACAGGTGGTGTTTACAGGCTTCTAGCGGTTCAAAATTTTCCCATTCTATCTTTCATTCATTCTTTCTTTCTTTCTTTTTTGTGGTTACCTGTTCCCTCTCTTTTATGAACAACAACATAAAGGAAAGAATACCAAACCCAGCCTGTAATCCAAACCTTTGATACCTGTAAATGGTTCTGTTCTATGGAAGCTTATTCTCAACAGGTGGGGAGGAGACCGACTGCCTGACTGCTCTTTCTGGCAGAATTTTGGTTTAGAATCTGGAAATAATGACTCATTTTCCTCAAAATATTGACTTAGTATCTCAGTGTCTTATTTTCTCAAAATATTAATTTACTATTACTATCAAACTAATGACTCATTTTATGACTGAGAATGACTCAAAATACTGACTTCCTAAGTCAACCTGACTTAGTATCTTAAAGCAATGACTTAGTGTATTGAAATAACGACCTACTTTCTGGATATTTTGAGTCATGATGACATTCTGACATACTATGTGGAAATTAATTAATTAAATTATTCAATTCAACGAATCAATCGACAACTTTAGAAAAACAGCAGATTTGACCACCTTTAATGACGTACGAACTTCTCTGCGTCTGATTCATCATTTTTGATAAATGATAAATCAGCACCAGCCAACCAGACAATCATTTTGGTCAGTTAACTGCAAATTGAGCATTTTATCAGGCTGTTAAACTAGAGCTGGGCAATATGACAATATATGTCTTCATCGTGATAAATTATGTCACAATACGATAAGCTTTTCTGAACATGACAGCACGTTTCTTTAAAAAGACAGCAAAATTAGTCCCATTTAACTGGATTTAGTGCAACACAGTATGAATAAAAAGAGTATTTTCTTTATTATATAAAATATAATTTAAAAAGAGTATTTTTAAAACGTAGCACTACTGGTTCTTTTTTCTCACTTTCAACTGACCAGATGTCTGAAACGTATGGAGCCCTGCTGGTGACATCCTGAAAAAATGAAAAATAATGCGTGTCCACGACTTAGTAAGGCGTGGGAATGAGATCCTAATGCATGGCCACGACTTAGGATCTCATTCCTACGGAGCCCCACTGGTGACATCCTGTATAAATAAAAATAATGGGTGGCCACGCCTTATTAACACATGGGAAGGAGATCCTAATGCGTGGCCACGACTTAGTAAGGACTAGGAATGAGATGATGAAGTCATGGCCATGACTTAATAAGGCGTGGCAACGAGATCACGGCTTACTAAGTCGTGGCCACACATTAGGATCTCATTCCCACGCCTTACTAAGCCATGGCCACGCATTATTTTTATTTATGCCGGTTGTCATCAGCAGGGCTCCGTACTAACTCATTATTTCGACATGACAGTTATTTCGAGATACCAAATCAACACTCCGAGGAACGTAATTCAGTCTCTTTTGAAACTGTCCACATAACCTAATGCTGCCGGAAACAAAGAAGGAAAAAAGATCACACGCGGTCTTTCCTCCTCTACCTGGTGGGACAGTGTCTCTGTTCCCTCATGAAGTCTGTGAAAGCCCTTGCCTGCCTCCACGTGTTCAGCGCTGGAGAGAGAGTGGTTTCACAGATCAAAAGGAGTGCCATGCCCACTTTATGGTGTGTAGGAACACACACACACCTTCCCACACAGACACACACAGCGTCTCAGTCTGACTGGTACAACAGGTCAACAAAGTCGTCGGCTGAGAAGTAGCGCGCCGCATGGCTAACCAGCAGCAGTGTCGACTTGTTGCCCCGCTCGCAGTTCTACTGCTGGGAGTTGTAGGCATTCTCCTGCTCGCCATTAACACCGAAGACATCAAGGAGACTCCGCAGAACATGGTAATTCCTCTTCTTCAGTGTAATGTAATGACTGGGACACTGCAGGCATTCGATGATATTTGACACAGAGCTCATGGTATGGGCTCTTTTCGCCCATGTAAACAGGTTAATTCATTAAACGCGCTCTTTCTATCGAAGGCGAGGCTGTTTGTATGTTAAACACGACCTGACTGAGCTGACAGAGAGAGCGGCTTCCTGCACCACTAATACTGTAACCTAGAGAATCTCTTGGCCTCCTTTCAGCTGTTTTTCTCCCGCCTCTCTCCGTGTGAAGCATCTTAAGCCTGTCACAAATTCAAATCCACTCTCTTACAAAGCCCACGTCATATGAAAGACTTATTTCAACAGGATTTAACCCATAAACTCCACGTCTGAAATGTTAAATTTCTTTTGGTCCATATACGTTTAAGATTGCATGAGAACAAAGCTGGAAAAAAAAATATACAAAGAGTGAGTTTGCATCACTTAAAGGGGAATTCCACCAATTTTTCAAAATTTTTGCTTGAAATGGATATGATGCTTTTTGGTTGAGAAGTTTTTGGACTAATTTCTAGGCACACACGGGGCATTATAAGGCAAACACTACCCAAAGAAAACCTATTTTATTCATCACTATTTTAACATAATCAACATTATGTATAAAACACATCTAGATTGAGTGGTTTTGGATAGCAAATACAATGGTTATATTAGTGTTCTAGACATTGTGTAACCTGGCTCCTGTCACCACCACTGGAAGGAAATCTGAGTGGGTAAGTTTCTCCATAGTTAACCATTTCACATCAAACCACTATGAAGAACTTTGTTTATATCTGTAAATTATGCAGAAGATTTAAATCTTTTTTTTTTTTGCATGGTTGTACTGATTTTTAACAAAACAACAGAAAATCCACAGTTGGTTGTGAATTAAAAAAATATTACATGCAGTTAAATAAATATCTAATGTTAGATGTTCATCCAGGGTATAATTATACAATATTTCACCACTTTAGATCGACAAGTGTGGCGGCATTTTTCATCATTGTTAAACATTTCCACTCTTAAAGGGAAATTTAACAGATTTTTCAAAATTGCTGCATAATTCAATCATTAAGATGTAAACAAAGTCAGTTTTTTCATGTGAAATGGTTAATTGTAGAGACATCGTTTCCTTTACAGTGTTAGTGATAGGAACCAGGGGTCACACTGTCTACAAAACAAAATATGGCCATTGCATGTACTGTTCAAAACAGCCAGAGAACCTACATGTAAGTAGTAAGTAAGTAAAGTTTATTTGTATAGCGCTTTTTACAACAGGTGTTGTCACAAAGCAGCTTTACAAGGAAATGAGCATTACAAAAAGAAGTCCGGGTCCGAGCCCCCATGAGCAAGCCAGTGGCGACAGTGGCAAGGAAAAACTCCCTAAGAGAAACAGGAAGAAACCTTGAGAGGAACCAGGACTCAGAAGGGGAACCCATCCTCCTCTGGTCGACACCGGATAGTAAACATTGTTAGTATAAAGTATTATAGTACAAAAAACAGGGTAAAACGTGAAGGAAACAATTAATTTGAACATGTGTCTTCCGTGTTTTTATATGTAATGTTGATAATGATAAAATAAAAAGAAAAGTCTGGGAAAAAAGTTCTTGGGGGCTATTTTGCCTTATAGTGCTCTGCATATACCTCTTTGCCATTAAAAATATCTTTCCAAATTATTTTAAAGCAATGTCTCAGGCAGTGCATTCGTAGCTCTTTCACGTAATAACTTCCTGTGAGGGAGCTTTTAGAAGCATCAGACTCTTTAGATGTCTGGTTCCTATCACCACCACTGTGAACAATTCTGACTCATTAGGTTTTCCTAGAAAGGAGTAATTTCAAATCAAACCACCCTGAATGACTTTGTTTGCATCTTAATCATTTAATTATGCAGAAAGTTAGAAAAATTGGTCAAATTCCCCTTTGACCTCTTAAATGTCCAGGGTCCACCGACAGGCACAAAGTTTTATTAAATACTTCTGTAGCCTAAGAATAACTCAACCAGTTTGCATCGAAGTCCCTGTAGTTACTCAATAATACACCTTATAGTATGTAATAAGCCTGGGATTTTAAGGGGTTAACTGACATCTGCTTTGAAAGACACTTGTTTCAACACAGTCTGCAGATTTGCAGGTCCGTTGGATGTGGCATAAAACGAGGGCTAATTTAATTAAGTATTCAAACTGGAGAAATGTAAACTCATAAAGCATGATAAGTAAACGCTTCTTTGCTTCATTATCTCTCTGTTAAGTGCATAGTTTTGTCCTCTGGTCCTCATACGATATGTTTAAACGATGCTGCTGCCCTAGATTTCTCCACATTGGCAAGTTTCCACCAGACTGGGGAAGGGGGTGAATAATGGATGGACATTAGTTAATATATTTATTTAAATGACTCTGCATTCAAGCCTCATCAAGTTGAATCACTTCACTCCTCTCAACTGGAAGGGCTTTGTAAATGGCCTCTTTAACCACACGGTTGAATTCAGGACAGTCTAAGAGAGTTCTTTCACCACGTTGTAGCATTGCTTTTGAAAACTCCTTTTGAAAGGGTCTGCACCAAAACAGCAGGACTTTTGCAGCTTGACCAATGGAACAGAATACGTAGCCTCTGGCAGTGTGTGTTTGAGTGGTGAAGAGAAGTACACTCCACCCTGCCTTTACTATTGTCCTCTTTTGCTGGGAAATCAGCAGTGTTGAAAGAAGTGCTACAGTATTCATGTGAGCCCACTATAGAAGTATTCATGTCAGCCCACTATAGAAGTTCATTTAGCAAAGGTGTTTTTGCTGTGCTGACTGAACTAACATGAAGACTACAGCAAAGAGAATCTTGCTGTTCTCATAGATTAACAGCACCACCAAAAAGGCGTGACACAGGATGCTTTGCGACAAACATGAAGCAACAGTGCCATCTCTGATCTCAGATCAACATACATTTAAAGAGCTTTTCTCTCAACCTATAGACTTTCAAGTTTTGACATGAAATAGAAATGAGAAAAACTTTGACAACAACATCTCAAAATCTTTACAAAGACTTTACAGATAATTTTGATTATCATTTATTTTTTTGAAAATAAATGATAAAAATACTGTGTTTCTTGAGTGACAGCTGATCAACAGCGAAGATGTCGACCATCTGGAGGTATTTAATGCTTTCTGTGAGAGACATTAGACAAGCGATTTGTAAATGCTGTTCAATTCTAGTATAAACGGACATTGTTTAGAGCACTCAATAACTGATTCACTGCAGGTTTATACCAATTGAAAACATGACATCCCACTCGATGGTGCTAAAGTGGAAAGTATAACTAAAAAATAGTGGACATCTGCATCGTAACCATTCTCTGTAATTGTTCACAGTGATGGATTTCGTGGCACATACTGTAGCCTACAGACCAAGAATTGTAGTGAGTTTATTTCATATAAACTGTTAAACTGTTTATTTTTTATCAGCCTTTTTGGGTTTTGGCTTGTAGCCCAGTGTGTCATAAATTTCAGTTTTGTTTTCTGTCAAGAAATTTCAGTGTGGTGCATCAGTAATACTGATACCCCAACTTTGACACAGATTCCTGAACATTACTGTTTTTTCGATATGTTCTTTGAAAACCTGAAAGTGGGTGGAAGTGAGTGTATTGACGACAACAGATCACAGACTGATAAGCACTGACATTAATTACATGCGTACAGAATTTTGGCAGCCAGTCAGCAAGCTAGATTTTGAAACAAGCATGCTTTTTGGCTCACAGATGATAAGGCTGACCGCTTAGGTATATAAAAACACAAAATATTGGGGTGTATTGTGGTGTGTGTGTGTGTGTGTATATATATGAAAATGTAAGCACATTTGGGACATTGACCATGTTTCTACAAAGGACCTGTTCTTGTATATAATCTTTTCCACTGAAGTACATGTTCAGACAGCTCTCAGGCAAAACCACACAGGCTTTTGTACAAACTTGTGGAGTCCATGCCAGCAACCAAGACATTCAAATTCACATTAAAATGTCAAAGATTCTACTTTCTCAAATTGTTATGTTGTAATAAATGTAAAACATAACAATAATGCACAACATAATTAGTATATGTATGGGGGGGTGTTAACATTTCATGCAACATGAGAAAGAAGCTGAGAGAAGTTTAAAGGACATGATAATTTATGAGCACTGAAGCGAAGTGGAAAGAATGAATTAGTCAATGCACCTGAGAGGACAGCAGACAGAATAGTGGCGAGCAGATGTACGTTAAGCCAGAGGGAATCCTTACGCAAACTCTCTAAAGGGTGGAGAGCGGGTCTGAGCAAGGAAGACTGTTACCACTGCCTTAGTTGCATGTATTGTCTTGTCCACATTGCCCAACCCTCAAAGAAGGATATTCACTGAGTCCTTTGTTTTAATTAGCTTCTTAATTAACAGTAAGTTCTATGGATTTGTTCTGCTGTTACCAAGGGCTCCATAACTGCCAAACTGGTTTTGCGTGGAAACCATAAATATTGCTCATCTAGATGATCTTATGAGCTCTTTCACTCAAGGAGATGTTTGTTTCAGGTGCCCCTGCAAGGCATATCAGCAGCACTGCAGGTGTCTGGTGTACAATAAATCTTCATGTTGTCAGTCTTGATTATCTTGGCTGTTTGACTTTCACTGTGTGTCACTCAGGTCGTTTCCCACAGTTCATTTATTTGGCTTTTGTGTATGTGTTTCCAGTATGGCATCGTCCTGGATGCTGGGTCCTCTCATACAGCGATGTTCATCTACAAATGGCCTGCAGACAAGCAGAATGGCACAGGAATCGTCACCCAGCACAGCGAGTGCCATGTGAAGGGTGAGTGTTTGTGTGTGTCAATAAGAGGTGGGCGATGGGGTAAAATATAATATTGTTATACCTCAAGAAATTTTGACGATACAAGATAAGTCACGATATTTATTCCTTTAGACATCAGATCAGTTTGAACTGAGAAGTATATTGTATTGTATCGTGACATAATTTATCCTAATAATGATTTATATTCTCATATTGCCACAGCCCTAGTGTCAGTTAGGGCTGCACGATATGGATGTAAAATGCGATGTTCGATAAAGCTGTTAGATATCACAATGACCATATGAGAAGTGATAAATTATGATTAAAATTGTGTACTTCTGCCTGTTTGGCTACTTACCTTACAACTGCAAGCACATTCTTATGCCCTGCAAAAGCTAAAAACAGTTAGCATGAACAACTTAATCTGTAAAGAATAACATATATATGTATATATATATATATATATATATATGTATATATATATATATATGCTTTGAAAAGCTGTTTATGGTGATGCAGGTTTGTTGTAACAGTAGCCATTACTGCCTCACACATTTTACACAGAACTCTGAAAGTGACAGTAGTTATCACATTTGAAACATTATTACAGGTTGATAGTTTTGAGTTGTGCCTGTATGCATTTTGTAATTGGCCATTTAGCTGAATAGCTAATTTGCTAATCAGTGTAGATTAAAAAACTGTAAACTAGACCCCAGAAGATATTTTAAGATTTTTTATTTATTATTTTTGGGAACATCAAGAAGTTATTAAATGATAAATAGTATATTGTAATTATCCATTTCTAGTTATCCTTTGATAAGTTATCTTGAGATTTGATCAATTTTCAAATATAAGGCATGCTGGGTGTTAATTTTATCATAACTTTATTCAGAATGTTCTACAGCTTTTTCGGTTGTTATGAAATCATCTACAGTTCTGTTCATTATTCAGAACACAGCTTTCTACATGTTATTGAAACCTATGATGTTATACAGTATTAGCATCATGTTAAAATTATTTTATAAATATGTAGAACTGTGGAAAATCATAGACTACCTTTGATTTATTTAATTTTCAGCCAAAATAAGTTATTGATTTTTCAGCATCAGGCAAAAAAAGCAAAAAACAAATATTTAACAAAAATTACAACAACTAAATATTAATTACTTCACAATTTAGTGTGTCCCCTTTTTTGCCTTGATTGCAGCTTCCATTCTTTTTGGGAGACAAATAAATCTGCAGGGATATTTTTCCACACCTCCAAGGTTCTGTCTCAGACGTTGGTTGTATTTTCTGCTTCTCATTCATATAATAGGACTTCAGTTTAGCTTGCTTGGCTGTATCTATCTAGATACCACAGAAAATAAAATTGCCTGAATAATTTTCCACCGGCTGTTTTAAGAATTTGGCCCTTTTGCTTCCTACAAAACTGAACAATGAAATAAGATTATTACCACAATTATAGTTTCAGTAAAACAAGCTTGCTGATTATATTAAATAGACATGAACTACAAATTACATTGTACACTTATTTCACAGACATCATGAGCCCCTCTTATGACATCCAGTCAGCTGTTTGTTACTATGCAGTTAACTGTAAAATAATTACAGGTTCCCTATAATTCGTCTTTTATATGATTCAATACTGTTGTTCAGTGTTCTAGAAGTACTGAAAATACCCATGATATACTCAGAAAAATGTGTTATGACATTATATTACACAATTATGATAACAGATGCCCACCCCTAGCATGTTCATGCATGTAGTGTATATGAACCAAGGCAAGACATGATGAGTGAGTAAAGGGGTGTGTGAGTAAGAGAAAGAGAGGAAGGTAAAGTGAAAGAAAAGACAGATGAAATGAAAAAAGAGATTCATAAAGAGATATGTGAAACCGTGGAATCCATACAGATGTTTCATTGCGAAACTGCTAGTTTTAGTTCATGTGCATACATCAGTATGTTGTATACTTCTCAAAAGGCCTGTCTTATCCTTAATAAATGATTCAGAAATTTCACTTCATGTAAAGCGTATTCCCCCTCAGACAGTGAACTTCTCTTCACACTAGTGAAGTGTGGTGTTTTACAGAAGTGTGAAAAAAATCGAAAGTGCTCTTTCTGGTACACTTCCTTGTTCTGTGGAGGTGCCCTCAGGGTGCCATCACAGGCAGTTCCTCAAGCAATTCAGTTTGGGATCCCCGTCACGCTAGTCTCTGGAGGTTTGCCAGCCACCATGTTCTGACACATACCATGAGACTGTCCATGCTCCCTGATTATTGCTGACAAGTAATCTTCAACGGAAGCATCTGGCATGAAGAAAAGGGACACATTTTTTGTCTGTTTCCTCTCTTTTTTGGAAACTTCTTAAAACAGACTTTTGAACTTCTCAATAGCTGTTCTAGAGACATCATGAGGGCAAATCTTGGTCAGTGACTCCGATTAACTGATTGATCACTGCAGAGTGTTGAATGTAAAGGCCCAGTAAAGTTGCAGTTAACTTGAAATATGAATATTAGACCAAAATAAGCATATTTGTTTTTTTCAGGGTTCAAAATACTACTTTAGGGTTAAATACTAAATACTGAATATTATGTACTAATGCACATGATGTCTATCAATAAAGATCAATATAGAATAGTATGGAAAATGTAAAATGATAAGATTTTTGCCTATATCTCCCAGCATTAACCTCATTTCTCATTAGTTACACTAAAGTTTGTAGTTGATTCTAACAGGACCGAGAACACCATATAATATTAATAATCTCGAACGTAATTAATATCCAGAAAAAATATGCACAGTATATTATTTGTCATTGCATTCACTTCTTATTCTGTATCCTTGAAATATTGAATCAAGCATCTAAAAACACTTTTCAGTGAGTGGTTTGTAATATATCCACATTGTAAGTCCACATTGTGCAAGTTATTATTGTATATAAAAAAAAATGGCAAAAAAAAAAAAACTTAATAGTGACTCCAAACTTTTAGACATTATAGTACTTCTGTTCTAATGCACACCATGATTCACACCCTGAACTGTTACAGGAAATGCATCATATTGTTGGAAAAGGTCAAGGTCAGCCCTGCATAAGTAAATAAGTCCTTAACTTAAGCTGAAAATAAAGCAGATATGCTAATTGCTGTGTAGATTTTGTGCTAGGAGGTTGATGTTTTTTCCCACTAGGTGGAGGAATATCTAGCTATGCAGGCCAAAAAGGAGGAGCTGCTCGTAGCCTGGAGGAGTGCATGGAGAAAGCTGTTCAAGAAATTCCCAAAGCCAGGCACCCTCTCACTCCTGTCTACCTCGGAGCTACAGCTGGCATGAGACTGCTGAAGTGAGTTACACAGCTTGTTTTAAGACATTCTCGAGTGCCTAGTCTGGAGATCTAGTAAACCAGTGGTGACCAGCCCTTCTCCTGGTGATCTACTTTCCTGCAGAGTTTAGCTCTGTCTTATCTGACAATACCCTCTGACTCAGCCAATCAAGAACTTCTGAAGAAGTTGATTAGCTGGAACAGGTGTGGCAGACTGGGCGTAACTAGACTTCACAGGAAAGTAGATTTCCAGTACCAGGGCTGGTGACCACTGCAGTAAATATTTAGTATGAGGCCAATACTAGAAGAAAATGCTAGATCAGATATATGAGATGAGATCTGATCTAATTTCATCATAAATCTATCCAGAAAAGTATCATAGAATTTATTGTAGTGCAACATAATGTAATGTAAATTGAAGTAGGCCATGTGATAACAACAGTAGCCACATGTTGCCTATGTTAACATAAGAATAACAAATAGTATTATACTAGAATTACAATTGCTTTATTTTAAATAATGCAGTGTTCCAGTTAAAAATAGCTAATTTGAAAGCGTAGTCATTTTTAAAGAGAAAAAATATGGGAATATTATTGGCTAATAAAGTGGTGCCGTCTTCAGCCTAATCCAGTCTTAATGAGCGACATACACCATCTTTGTACAGCATTATCAGTTGCCTGAGGTACTTGACAATGCAAATCATATACCAAAGATGCATGGTTTTATATATTCTACAGCATTTCCAACCCCAGTGTGTCAGATGAGATTTTAAAGGAAGTGGGGGACAAGTTGAAGGCGTATCCATTTAGCTTCAAAGGGGCCACTATCTTGACTGGGCAAGAGGAAGGAGCATACGGCTGGGTCACAGTCAACTACCTTTTAGAAAACTTTATCAAGGTAAAGAGAACAGCTTTTCTTCAGTAGTAAAATAGAATACTTTCATGGTTTTGTTTCAGAGAATTTGAGAAAACTGTAAATTGTTTACTATTTTATATAATGTAATATTTTCATTTAAAAAGCCCTTTTTATTATTTTATTATTTATTATTATATTAAATAAAAGAGATTAATGCACTCTTGATGCATATATATATATATATATATATATATATATATATATATATATATATATATATATATATATATATATATATATACACATACACACACACACATACTGTTCACTTCCCAGTCCGTACATTTTGCATATAATAACTAAGCTGCAAATTTATAAATTCGCATATAACCATCTATTTAACCTGGAGCAATTTAGCCCGTCCTTTTTTGTGAATGGGGCACAATAGAGGACATTCAATCAGAACAGTTTTTACATACAAACAAACAATTCTAAACGATGTTGTATGCTTTTAAGAAACAAAGAAATGGAAATAATAAATCAAATCAAATCACATTTATTATCACATCACATTTACACAGGTGTGAAGGTGAGTGAAAATCACTCAAGTCAAATGCGTGTATATATATATATATATATATATATATATATATGTGTGTATATATATATATATATATATATATATATATATGTGTGTATATATATATATATATATACACACACACATTTGACTTTAAATATATACACATATACGCAATATATACATTACTATACACCAGTGTTGCACCATTCCAGTATAGTTTTTATACAGTAATTTAAAATCTGAAATAAAAGCTATGATATGTGCAGTTTTACATTTTTTTCATATATGAAATATGGGAGTCTGAGGTAGATAAACAGGGGATAGAATATTATATATATTAAAAACAACACACACACACACACACAGACGTGTGTGTATATAAATATATATATATACAACTTGGCTCCCTGACTGGATCCATTCATGTTCGTATTGTTATATGTACAGTATGAATTGTTTGGGAATCGCCCCAGAATTCTGTAGCACTGCTCTGTTGTCTGCTGTCTCTTTGACCTTGCTCCTCTTCTCTTACTAGTACGGTTTTGTAGGCCACTGGCTGTTCCCTGGCAGAAACACAGTTGGCGCACTAGATTTTGGCGGAGCCTCCACTCAGATTACCTTTGAGACCAGGGAAAAAGTAGAGGACGTTAACAACCTGATGATGCTGCGACTGTACGGCCGAAACTACAGCATCTACACTCAAAGCTTCTTGTGCTACGGCAGGGACCAGATGTTACGGCAGCTGCTGGCTCACTTGGTCAAGGTAAACACAGGAATCTGAGTGCCACAGCTGTCAATGGCACCTGTAAAAGGAATAAGTAACTGGCAACTGCGTTAATTGAGAATGCCTTGTTCTTGAAGGATGGTAGGCATATTTGAATTTGGGGCATAATATTAAAGCAGTTTTTCCTAAACCAGTCATCAGCTACAAAAATGCCCATTTTATAGTTAACAGTATGTCATACGTTGTCAGAGACTTCTCTGACCCTTTGACATGCTTGCATAAAACACAGTTTGAGGTGATTTAGAACTGCGGTTTGCCCAATGCTAACAGGTGCCTAAAACTTGTTAGCTGCATCAACCTCATAGCTCCAGTGCCAAGCAAACTTTGGACAAGAAACCTGTCATGGCTGTTTGACTGTGTTCTAGGTAAGCGTAGCTGTCAAGTTCACAGTTTACTCATGAAACTCGCATCTGTTTTCTTTGCTGCTTTCAATGTAAATCTAGTGGGTTTCACATTCTCAAACCAAATAGAAAAGTGTGTTTCACAGAATGCTGCCAAGCTGTGGATTACCAGCACAGCAACAGCCAACACTGGGCTCAGCCACTTATTTGGATTGCACTGTCCAGCTCTGTTGTCCCCTCAAATGAAAGCCCAGAATGTGTTGATTTCACATACAGATATTTAAACTGGCTATGAGAATGGCTTTGAAGCAAGATCAGCAGTTAAACAGCCTAGATATTAAAAAAATTCTACTGAATGGAGTTTTCAATTTGATGATTGAGAGGTCAAAACTAACATGAACGTTGTAGTTTCAGGGATGTTTGACATCAAAAATGAGACAAAAGCAAGCTGCACACTTGGCCACTTGGAGTTGAATACAATTTATTTATGATACCAAAGCTGATATTTGCACCTTGAGTATCAGCCGATACTGACACCGATCCAATATTATATCTTTATTATATCTTTAAAACTTACTAAGTGTTGGAAATCCCAGTAGTAGGAGTAAACACTCCATTTCCCATGATGCTCTGCTACAGGAAGTGAGCTGAGCTTTAGGGTTAAAAGGCCAGGGAAGATGTTTTCTTTATCTTTTTCCCCCCATGGGACTGTATGGTAGTTGTTCATGACTTGGATGTTAACTACAGCCAACCATCCACCATGTTTATCTTCTCCTCCTTCCTAAGTTATAGAGTCATCTTCTCACCTAATCCGTATGACTGGTTCCTGTCATACTGTTTCTAGAAAAATGCTTTTACATCATTTTCTTGTGTTTTAATCAGACACAATGCAGCATTCACCACATGCTGGCACTAGCTACAGTCTACTCTTTATTGAATTATTAACACTAAGCATTAAAATAATATATTTCCTGGATAAAGGTGGTAGATTAAACCACACATACATTAGAAAAGGATCTCAGAGAAAAAAAAATTAATGCAAGGAAAATGTAGTATTTGGCCCTTGATTTTTTTAGGTAAAGCCAACTCTGCCAGCTATGGGGTCTTGTTTCGGGGACCAACTCTCTGGTCGATCATACAGGTGGGATTATATGCTCACAATCTTCAGAATGCAGTCTGACTGGAAATGATAGCAGCCATTAGCCCCAGTCAGATCCACTGTATTCAGTTCCAAAAGTAAAATGTCCTCTCACCCAGTCAGTCTTTAGGAACTCAAGGGGCTTGGTACCAAGACTAGTAAATTGTGTACATTTGATTTTTCACTGAACCTAAAAGATGCAAGGGGTAGTGGCTGAAATCTTCCCCTATGAAATGGCACAACCCTCAGATAAACAAGAACAGTACTTCATTAACAGGCTACTAGCAGTGCTCTGTAAGTTCAGCAACGTCACTGCTGGTCTTTAGTTAAATTTAGAGCAACATATGCCTTCAAAGAGGGGGGGGGGTGACAATTATTTATTATGCCCACCCTAATTCTTCGGTGAAATAAAGCTGAAGTCAACTATTCGCCAGCTTCTTGTTCGAATTTTCCCGTTCCACCTTAAATGGTGCAGCAGTTCTGATGCCTGAGGTGCCAGAATAACTGCTGCACCATTTAAGGTAGAACAGGAAATTTAGCTGGCTACCTACTGAGACATAAGTATACTACTAGCAACTTTTTATGCTTATTAGGAAGAAAAGGACCATAATACATTGGTACGACATTGAACTAAGATAATACAGTAGCCTAAGTCTGCCATATTCTGTGTCAGTATAATTGTGTGTAATACATGAATAACTGTTTTCTTTTTTGCTTTTTCCTCTCTCAGACTCAGGGATCCGACGGCCCCGTAATCCACCCCTGCTATCCATCAGATCATAATGTGTCCATGGGCCTGGATGCCATTTTCGATTCCCCATGCACAGCAAAAGAAAGACCCGTACCCTATACCGCTGAGAAGAAGCTGCAAATACAAGGTTCAGGGAACTACCAGCACTGCTTGGGAAACATGTCAATGATCTTCTCCTTCCAGTCCTGCCCGTACTCCAAGTGCTCCTTTAACAATGTCTTCCAGCCCAACGTCAGTGGCAACTTTATGGTAGGAGTATTTGCTATGATTTTGGAAACATCCTGTATAATGACTAGGACAAGCCTTTACGATCACGTCCCTTCGACTGGAAAAATACAGCACTAATGTTTTCGTCTCTCGTGCCTCAGGAAGCGCTAATGTCTCTGCTGGTCTTTTCAGTCTGGGGCTCAAAACAATATTAACTTCTGCTGAAGTCTGAGGGAATGCAGAAGCAGCGGTGATGTTAAGCAGTGCTGACAAGCGGAACAGTATTAGCTCAAAGCTGCTCTGAAGTTTAAGCGTGCAGGATCCTTTGGGCACACCGCATATGTCATCATAGTTTCTATGTGATTATGCAATCTTGCTCTTTGGTTTTGTGTCTGTCTGTCCCTGTTTCCTTTTTTTTCCTCAGCCCTCTTTTCCCCCCTCTTGGCCGTCCTTCTCAGTCTTTTTTCTCACCCCTCTTTCCTCCTTTGGTACCTGTCTGTTGTCATTTTAATTCTTTCCTATACTGCCATCTAATGTCTCTCTCTCTCTCTCTCTCTCTCTCTCTCTCTCACTCTCTCTCTCTCTCTCTTTAGCCACTGAAATAAAACCATAGGGCTGTAATGACAAGTAATTTTGAAAAATACATAACTTGAGACATAATCTTATTTTTAATATTTGAAACCACAAATATGTAGTAGTTAAATATTCAGTACGTCTACACTATATTTCCAAAAGTATTCGCTCGTCTGCCTTCACACACATATGAACTTGAGTGACATCCCATTCTTAATCCATAGGATTTAATATGATGTTGGCCCACCCTTTGCAGCTATAACAGTTTCAACTCTTCTGGGAAGACTTTCCACAAGGTTTAGGAGTGCGCTTGGTGATGTAAGTCTTGGATGCAGCTGCTCGGTCATGGAAACCCATTCCATGAAGCTCTCTACACTGTTCTTGAGCTAATCTGAAGGCCACATGAAGTTTGGAGGTCTGCAGCAATTGACTCTGCAGGAAAGTCGGCGACCTCTGCGCACTACATGCCTCAGCATCCGCTGACCCCGCTCTGTCAGTTTGTGTGGCCTACCACTTTGTGGCTGAGTTGCTGTCGTTCCCAATCGCTTCCAATTTGTTATAATACCACTGACAGTTGACTGTGGAATATTCAGTAGCGAGGAAATTTCACGACTGGACTTGTTGCACAGGTGGCATCCTACCATGCTGGAATTCACTGAGCTTCTGAGAGCGACCCATTCTTTCACAAATGTTTGTAGAAGCAGTCTGTATGCCTAGGTGTTTGGTTTTATACATGTGGCCATGGAAGTGATTGGAACACCTGAATTCAATGATTTGGATGGGTGAGTGAATACTTTTGGCAATATAATGTATGTCAGTTTCCGCTTCTGCCAGAGGGATGTAGGAGTGAGTAAATTATTTCTATTAATTATGGTATTAGAAATAATTATTATTTCTAATAAGTGGGGCAAGAGGATGAAATAGTCTCTGAATAAGGTATTCTTGAAAGTTAATCCTGCAGAGACCATTAATAACAATGCAAACAATAATAATTTCACATTATCGGAAGGAAATTTGACAATTTTACTAAAATTGAGAGTTCTTTCTTAGCTGTTAGAACGTCTGAGATAAGAGATACGTACACATAGGTAAAACAGGTAAAAAAAAATATAAAGAGATTCTACAACTTTGAAGATTATTTCAATGTCTCTGGCCAGATTTTACCATTAATTCAAGATGAAACATGGCATGTTTTGTGTATTACACACAACTGAGGATAGAAATATGAATTACACTGTAAAATCTAGCGCCTTTTTTGCCCATCCACATCCACCCGCTTTGACCACACGCCGTGCCCACCCACATCTGCTCTCTTTGGGTTATGCATATGGACCTTGCCCACTCCTGCCTGTGTTTGCCATAACCTGCTCCACTTGTGTAGGACGTCTCCACACAATACCTGCTACTCGGCAGAACAGCCTCCAGACCCATTGTACCTCCATGCGCCCAGCTGCAAAAATAAACTTTTCAGTGTTACAAAATATAAGTATATTCTATTTGTATATTTTTAGGCTAAACAAAACCGTGTGAACTTGGCACATGGCACTTCGCTACATTGTATCTGTCTCAGCATTTTATCTGTGTCAGCATTACAGTATTAGCTAATTCCTCTACAAGACGTTTAGAAGTCAGATGAAATACAGTCAAATCCAAAATCGACGCTGAGGCATGCTGCGACACAAGTCTAAGAGCCAAAATAATTTTCTTGGGAAAAAATCTGTTCGATTTTGTACATAAGTTATTTACTGGACGTTATATATGTGTGTTTTGCGGCTTTTGACAATTACTAACGTGTTTTTTCTACAGCACACTTGCAGCTTATTTGTTGATTGTCTGTCTGCTTCTTCAAGCAGCCAGTAATTGTCCAAGCCCATCCCACCCAGCCATACATAATACACCTCCCACCCCAATTATACATTTAATGCACACATTATTTGTGCATTAAACATATAAATCATATAAGTACATTCACAATGATTGTAAGCGTGCATCTTTTGTGCCACATGCCGTGTGTGTTTTTTCGTGGTGGGATGGGGTACAATCAGTAATCAGTACCTCTTTTCAGTTGGGGCGTGTGAGCCCTTTTTGCGGCTCTCTGCGTGCCAGCTCCTAGTTCGCAGTGCGCCCTGTGGCCGTCACCACACTATCATGCTAAATATTTTTAGATATTGCCCCAACGTAGTTTAAAGTTACAGTGCTCACCATAATCAGTGGTAGAATATAGAGTGCTACTGTATCTTCTACCAAAATCAGTGTGAAATAACTTATTTTACTTCTTTTCCTTGTCTTTCCTCAACATTTGACTGTAAAATATGATTCTAATTTTGTATAAAATTAGTTTTATAATGTCATGTTTGTGTAAAATGTTGAAAACTCTTTTCTTTAAAAATGTAAAGTTTGTATGTACTCGTTTCTCACAGGGACACTTAATATCCAGTTTATTTTATATCCAAGTGGTTTATATCAGGCTTACAATCATTACAGATTTCTACAGTTTTATTATAAACTCTCCCTTCCTCTAAAAAGAATTGCTGCAACAATCACAAAAAAAGGCTGTGATGGGACTGATTTAACCACACCAGGTACTCAAACAACAACTACCACATTTGATGAAGCTTAAAATTTACCCTCAATCCAATGGCAGAACATTTGTGCATGCAAAAAGATGCAATACATTTGTTTCACAGCTGTTTATCAATAATTATCAAAAAATGGACACATGTTCCCAGCTTCTTAAAACAGTTCATTAGAAACTCAAGAAAAAAGCCCATTTGACTGGTTATCATATGCTTCTCTATATAAAAGTACTCCTTTTCTCTCCATTGCAGGCATTTTCTGCCTTCTTCTACATTCACTCTTTCCTGAAGCACACCACTGACATCACTGTCTCTACCCCCGTTCTCCTAGAGGAGGCAGCCATCACCGTCTGCAACATGAGCTTCCAGGAGGTACTACCCTTCCCTGCCGAGCTAATTCTGTCCCTGCTATTCTGAGATGTGCTTCTCTATATTTCAGCATTACAGGGCTAATACCTTCATCCTAGACTCATGAAGGAGGAAGCTGAAATGTAGTCTAGGCCACTTACTATCTAACAGTCCGTCGCACTATTTAAGGATCCCATATCTTACATCTTCATTGTATTTTATTTTTGAAGATCCTCTAGTTGTATTTGTGTACAGTTAGAATTCATTTTAACATGACCATTTTTCAGCCTTGCCTTATCCTAGGTTTTGTTTTTTTGTTTTTTTTGTCACTGTGCCTATAGAACTGATATATGTAAATGAGCTCTGTTTTGATTGGCTGGTATATATTGTGCCTCATTCAAAAAACAATTCGCAATGAAACACTTTTTATAACTTCAGCCTGAATGGCTAAAAAAACAATGAAATGTATTTATAGTTTATAAATTCAAAATAATATTCATAATTAATTTATCATTTCAATATACTGACTATATGGACTGACATACCAGATTAAACCTTTTATTTCAGTTTTCTGTGATACGGGCCGTCTAAGATGTGTACTCTTCAAACATCTATTCAGTCATCAGCTTGTGTGTTTGATGACCTTGTCTAAACTCTCTTGACAAATGGAGGCTGACATTAAGAGTACCGATGCATATAGACTGAGCGTTCGCAATTCATTCTGTAATAAATCTTACATGTGATATTGCTTCTGGAAGAAATCAATATGAACTACATTGATATGACTGGCAGCTTTTTGATGTTCTCACTCTCTCTTTTTCTGTCTCGTTTAAAGATGCTGGAGAAGGTTCCAGAACAGCAGAGCCGTCTGCAGGACTACTGTGCAGCCACAGTCTTCATGCAAGTGCTCTTGCTCAAAGGCTACGGCTTTGATCGGCTCTCTTTTCCCCAGATCTCCTTCCAAAAGAAAGTAAGCCCTGAGCACCATGAACAGTACGCACACTTCTGAGTGAAACATCACACTGTAGAAAGGGGGTCAGTTCTTATTTTCTCACAGCAAATGTGCAAACTTGCACAATGTTCCATCCGTCAATCTGTCAGTTTATGATTTCTTGAGATCTCCTGTCCTGCCATTTGTAAATTAATTTACAGACGCTCCACTCTCAAATGCATTCCTTGGCAGGATCTTGTAAGGTTGGCCAGGCTTTACAGAACACTGTAATTCAGCTTAATAAGAAATTGTAGTCTGCTTGTGTCAGAATACCTAAATCTAGAGAGTGTAAGGAATTACAAATGGTCTTTATTTTGTATGTGTGCAAAAGGCCACACTGTTAAGATAGATTGGCTGTCTAAAGCTCTGTCGCCCCCCTCTGACTAGTTTTGATTTATGTTAAAATGGTGAACCAAAAATCCAAAAGCATTTTAGCACAAAGACGATTCTTGAACGGGAGAGCGAGCAACACACTGAACACTCTCTACTTGTTAACCCCTTAAGAAGCCAAGTTTTCTTACACACTTTTATAACCTAAGAATAGCTCAATTAGTTTGCATGGAAGTCCCTGTAGTTACTGAATAATAAGTATTTTTTATTAGATTAGATTAGATTCAGCTTTATTGTCATTGTGCAGAGTACAGATACAGAGCCAATGAAATAGCAGTTAGCATCTAACCAGAAGTGCAGAATATAGTATTATTTACATATAAAGTACAAGAAAGTAACCGACAATTGACAGTTGCAGTATGTACAATTAAGGATGGTAGAGTGGTAAAAAATATAGATGTTGCAAGTATAAATTCATATATGTATGTACAGAGTGAGTGGAGAAAATGCAAATGTAGGTGGTATGTACTGTCATATCAGCATATGTAAAATGATAAGTATGCAGAGTAAAGAAAATTTACAGTGCCTGTCTGTACAAATATGAGTAGTGCAGTAATAGACTGTACAAATATGAATAGTGTGACAGTGCCACGACATAAAGCACAGTAACAATGCAGTGAGTGCAAAGATGCACTCAGCAGGGTCACCGCCTCAGGGAAGAGGCTCTTCCTGAGCCTGCTGGTTCGGGAGGAGGGTAAAAAGTCCATGCTTGGGATGAGAAACGTCCTTGATGATGTTCCTCGCCTTGCCCAGGCAGCGCTTATGGTAAATGTTCTCAATGGTGGGTAACTGGGTACCTGTGATGAGCTGGGCATTGGTTATAAAATAAACCTGGAGTGTTACAGGGTTAAGATGATCCTACCACTAAGATGCTTTTGGGAAACTGGGCCCTGAGTTCAGCTCGTAGCATAGCAATTCAAACTGGAAACTCAACATGTAGTGACTCTAAACAAAGTTTGAGGTGATTGACAGACATTTTTGCCAACGTTCTATAAAGCTTGTCCAACCTGGTGACAGTTGCTACATTTGTGGGTGGAGCATAGATAGGTCAACTGGCCCCTTCTACGTACCACTTAACAATTAAGCCTTTTTTACACGTACTGCACCTGTATGGAGTGAGCAACCTGTGTGAAGAGCATGGAAATGTATCCCAGACAAGTGCCAAAAGTGGTGTATGGCATGGAGCCTATTTTTTCGTTGTGCTGCATATGCCGTGCAGCAAAATACAGTGAAATAAACTATAAAAAAACAATGAAAAAGAAACAGAAACCCCAAATAAAAATGTCAAAAATGCTAATTCTACCAGTTTAGAGTTGTTTTCAAACAAGATGCTAGCTGTCCATTTATTGCTACACACATTTCTTATCAGGCATGAAAACGATTGGTTTGTCAGAAATCAGAAAGCTGCTGAGGCTGCACAAATGTATCGTGCCCCTTTATAACTTGCATGTTATTGAGTAAAGCAACTGATTTGACTGTTTATCCATTTGGAAGAAGGTTGTCTGTAGAATCTGCTTGCTGCACCACTCTACAGTGCAAACACTGTGTAAATGAATGGCAAATGAGCTGTAGCAGTCATGATGTATCGCTCATGACACACAGAGGTCATCTGTGTAAAACAGGCCTTATTCACACCATCTGTTATAAAAGCAGAACTCAGTTTTCAAATCTGTTATAATCCTAATAAAATGTTTTTGGGTTTTTCAGGCAGGGGACACCTCAGTTGGCTGGGCTCTGGGCTACATGCTGAGGTTGAGCAGCCTTCTGCCGTCTGAGAGTGTGGCCCTGAGGAAGGCCCTGCATCCAGGGGCTTGGAGTACACTCATCTTCCTCTTCACCGTTCTAATGTTTGTAGCACTCCTGTCTATCTTTCTGCTCATGTTCCGCAAGAAGAAAGAAAGTGATGTGGTCCTTTAATAACAGCTACACAGCACTGTGATTCAGCAAGCTTTTGTAAGTCATTAATGCACTGAACAGGAAGTTTTAGTAAAAAAGTCTACGTCTATGAAGAGAAACATGGTATGTCAGATAAAAGTGAAAAACATTTATTGCTTCGCTGTTTATATCGCTATTACTGAGTTTGTAAAATTAGATAGTGGCATAAGTCATCACTATGACCTGGAAAGAGAAAAGCCATAGGCTTTAAGGATAAATGATACCTTTTTCAAACTAAATGGACTCGTTTGTAGTTGTTTACTCTTGGTACTAATAAACACATTCAGGGTTTTGTTCTCTGTGACAGTTGGAGGTTTTAGAAGGAAGAATGTTTAAGTAGCTTATGTTACACTTTTTACAGGAATTTTATGTACAGTACTTATTTTTTAGTGTAATATTAACATTTGAATATTTTGTATATGTGAAACATTTTGAATTCAGGGACTATGCATTTTATACACAGAAAATCATGAAGATTAAAACTAATGACATGATTGTACTGATGATGAATAAAAAACTATCTTTCATAATACTGTGGGTTTTTTTTTCTCTTTTAAGTGACCTGTGAATCAAAATGTCTGGCAATGTCCCTGTTTTTCTCTTGGCGAACAGTTGAGTTCCTGTGAGACCAAATTTATATTTCTGTACAATAAAACTGCTCTATGCTAATTAGCAACGTTTTGTGAGGACTCGCACTACTGATTAGTCAGCACACCACCACCAAACAAAATATATTTGTTACAACTTTTACTTTGGTGTGCTTGAGTATGTTTAAATGGTGATGCATTGCATTAGCATGGGGGTTCACTTATTTTGATACAGTACCTATACTTCTACTCAAAGGGGAATTCCACCATGCAAAGTGCTTTGATGTGAAAAAGGTGATTTGCATTGAGAGTGGTGTTATTTGAACCAGACAATAAACTGGGTTTATTGCTTCTAAAAACTACATCACAAAGTTATTACATGTAATGGTTAACTACAAACGTTTCCTGATGTCTGAGACATTGTTTTACCATAGTTTTTAAAAGAATTTGGCCTCGAATCCATTAATGTGTAGAGATACATGTTTATGTTATATGTATAGGTATATGTTTTTACATATAAAAATTCAGAAGACGTGTAGTCTGACAGGTTGCTTTGGACAGTAAATAAAAAGCCAATGTTTATGTCGTAATTAGCGTCCCCTGCTTCCTGTCACCAGTGCTGTAAATAAATCTAAGTGGATAAATTTCTCCACTCTGAATGACCTAGTTTACGTCTCATCGACTGAATTATGCGAGAGTTTTGAAAACAGTGTTTTCGTGACTTTTTCCAGCCGCGGGTGTGAAGTCTCCACAAGCCTAGGATCGTTTTTCAAGGAGGAACCATTTTTCACCGCGCCAGCAGTGCAACACGGCCGATTTAGGTGCGCGTCCGGGAAGTGCGCGAATGCTGACCACTCGGAATAAAAACAAAAATAAGATTATAATTGTTGATTATACGCATTACAACGTTTTGCTTGGACGCTGTTGTTACATACAGCGTCGCAAAAATGTTTGCAGGCTTGCCGGAGTTGGGGATTTCCAACGGCGAGGATCTGAAGGAGACCCTGACTAACTGCACTGAGCCGCTGAAAGCCATCGACCAGTTTCAGGTAGCTGACTAAGTTAGCGTTAACAATAGAAAGATGTTTAAAAAATCACAGTATGCGCTGAAAAGATCGGTGTTTTGGGTCTGAAAGTTCTGCTTTGCGCTCAGACAGTGAGTCAGCAGTCTTATCAAGTCTTTGTGGTGCTTTTTGCAACGAAGCTGAAGTAACGTTAAGCTTCTTGTTCGTATTTTCCCTTGTTCCACCTTAAATGCCTCCAATATCCAAAAATATTCAGACACCTCTTCTAATTAGCTAGTGAATTCAGCTGCTTTAAGGGGCACCTATTTCTGACACAGAAGTTCAACTCCACACACATACAGTTTGTACAATCTCTATAGAAAAGCTCTGCTCTCTGGAGCAATAAAAGGTCACCATGCTATCAATTAGAGGGCTATAAAGCCCCCAGGATTGAACTGTGGAGCAGTGGAACTGTGTTATCTGGAGTGATGGAGCTCCATCCAATAACTTTGGGATGAGTTAGAGTGATCCAGAATTAATCCTCCAACACCAGCACCTGTCTGATTGCAATCAAATCTTCACAACAGTGTTCCAGTGTTTACATACTATGTCAAAAAGTGAGGAACATTCACGTGGGTGCTTCAGGATGTTAAGTCTCAGTAGTAAAAATGCCCACAGCTGTTTACCGGACCCACAGATCAAGTTGCTTAAATTGCATCAGTTATTTTTTGGTAAACGAAAATGTCCAAGTTTCTTGCGTAATGAGATCCATAATATATAGGAACTGTATGTGGTGTGTGAGTGTCTATTATAAGTTTATTACAGCACTACCTTATTGTGTGTAGATGGAGAATGGCATATTGTTGCCAACCTTGCAGTCTGCATTGCCTTTTTTGGATCTTCACGGTACACCTCGCCTAGAGTTCCACCAGTCGGTGTTTGACGAGCTTCGGGAGAAGCTGATGGAGCGAGTTGCTTTCATTGCAGAAGGCAAGGATGAGGACAGGTAAGAGTGAGAGACATTGGAATACCTGCTTGTTTCTCCACTCTTAACAAATGGCTAATATATTAATTCCAACATAGATACACTAAGCTGGAAGAGCTTCTTGAGAAGAGCTTCCCACTGGTCAAGATGCCCTCCATACAGCCTGTCGTAATGCAAGTTATGAAACACTTACCAAAGGTATGAGATTGGTGCCATTATATGTATCTATCTATGTATCCATGTTAATAGCTGCATGACTAGCTTATGCATTAATTTGATTTCCGCTCTTTTTTTTTGTTCTTCTCTTCATGCAGGTGCCAGAGAAGAAGCTGAAGCAGGTGATGGCTGATAAGGAGCTGTATAAAGTTTGTGCAGTGGAGGTGAAAAGGCAGATTTGGCAGGATAACCAAGCTCTGTTTGGGGATGAAGTGTCTCCTTTGCTCAAGCAGTACATTGTGGAAAAGGAGGCTGCACTCTTCAGCAGTGATCTCTCCATCCTGCACAACTTTTTCAGTCCTTCACCAAAAACCCGCCGACAGGGAGAGGTGAGAGCAGTCATACTTAAAACTTGATCTGTGGTAGTTTATACTTTCTCCAAAAACACTTACATGATTTTATGAGTGATGTCGTATGGTGGGCCATATCATGTTAAATTTTTTTAAAGTTTCAAAATGTACCATTCTCTCCCCAGTCCATACGGACCATATAAGGAAACTATTCTGTATAAACAGCTCATTTTGAATTCATTGTTTTTGTGATGTCACGAGAACCAACACAGTCACATGTATTGTCTGTGCAACTTACAACAGCGTAGCCCCACCCATTAAGGCTGAAGTAATAAGGGATGTTTCAGCCCAATAGCTTTTGAATAAGGCACAGAACAGAAGTAATTGACATATATCAGTCTTAAAGGGCCCAAATCATAATTTTTCTTGCTTGGTTGTTTTTGTGACTGTGCCTTTAAGACTAATATATGTAATTGGCATCTGTTCAGTTTGGCGGTCCTGTATTGTGCCTCCTTCAAAAAGCAGACTTCGTTAAAACTGCTTATAACTTTAAGGCAAGTCAAGGCAAGTTTATTTGTATAGCGACTTTCATACACCGCTGTCATTCAAAGTGCTTTACAAATGAGAAAATACAGAGTCAGATAATAGAGTTGTTTAAAAAAGTAAAGTAAATGTGAATAGAAAAACATAATTAAAGCAATAAATTTAAAAGAGAAAATCATTAAATTAAAGATCAAATTAGAAATTAAATTAGGATAGTTAGAAAATTAAATAAAAAATTAAAAGTTAGGTAAGGAAAAGAAAAAGTGCTGTTACAGAGGAAAAGGGGCTAGAAATGCTAACAGAGATTTAAACTGAGTTGAAAGCTGCTCAAATAGGAACATTTTGAGCCCGGGAGCCTCTTTTAATGCTCTTTGTCAACTGGTTCCATTTAAGAGCAGCCTTGTAGCTAAACGCTGCTTCTCCATGTCTGTTCTTCACCTTCGGCAGGATTAACTGACTAGTTCTTAATGATCTGAGAGTTCTGCTCGGCTCATATCGCTGCAACATATGAAATAAATATGCTGGTCCTACACCATGAAATGAATTGCTTTTTCCATGACATATCAAAAACAATTGGACTGTTTTGTGGCTTTGTTTCCACACACACACATATATATATATATATATATATGTACATACATACATATATACATATACGGTACATTTTGAAACTTTAACAGTGTTTACATACTACACCAAGCTGTTTTATTTCAGAAAAGTGAGGACGTGTTTCTGTAATATGGGCCCTTTAAAGGCACATTAACAAATCCTGTAAAGCCTGTTAAGAGAGGTTGGAAAATGGCAATGTAAAAATGAATTATGAATTTTTAGCACAGAAAACTAAACAAACATTAAAAATTAGGATAGAGGGGAAAAAAAATACAAGACACATGTGGGATATTGGCCATTTGCACAAAGATGCTTCTTAAGTAGTAGAGTGAGCATCACACTGAACACTTTCTCTCTTTAGGAAACAGTTCAGTCTTAAATTTTATGATATGAGTATTTTGCTCGAAGTATAAGGTATTACTGTAGTGGTAATATGTCATTATTATTAAAACACACTAAATACACAAATGTGACTGGAGGACCTAGTGTACACAGTGATGGAATATAGACAAAAACAATGCACTTTTTTATTTATACTTTTGATAATAGTCAGATAATTTTATTTTGGCCAAAAAAATTAATGCGTACTTTATACTTCTGATATCAGGTGGTGCAAAAGCTCACTCAGATGATTGGGAAGAATGTGAAGCTGTATGACATGGTGCTGCAGTTCCTGAGGACGCTGTTTCTGCGCACACGAAACGTGCACTACTGCACTCTACGTGCTGAACTTCTAATGTCCCTTCATGACCTGGATATCAGCGAGATCTGTTCTGTTGACCCCTGCCACAAGGTGAGAAACCACTGTCATCTCACATAGGCTGTCTCAAACCACTAGCCTAGAGCCATTAACCTAGGTTCTGTTAAATCTCCCTGCATGCAAACGTTCCTGTAAGTCGGTGCAATTTTGATGTCTGCTGGAAATGTAGAAGTGCAGCACTTTTTTACTTTGTCAATGCCACTTTAGTTTTCTGGTGGAGGTGGGCGATATGGCACAAATGTAATATAACGATGCTTCAGGAAGTATCCTTTTTTTGTAATGAAACATGCAGTGGGGAGGTGCTTTTTTAAAAGACTGATGGTATCCACGATATGCTCAGAAAAGCTAATTTATCACATTAACAATATTGTCAAATTGCCCAGCCCTACTTTTTTAATCTCTTTCTTCTTTCAGTTCACCTGGTGCTTGGATGCCTGCATCAGGGAGAAGTTTGTGGATGCCAAACGGGCCAGGGAGCTGCAGGGCTTCTTGGACGGTGTGAAAAAAGGACAAGAGCAAGTTCTTGGGTATGACAA